TGACCGTCCGAAGCACGCGTACCAACGACGGGCGGCAGGCCATGGCATTTGGTGACGCGTGGCCCGTCTCTGCCAGATGGCCAGAACAGGACGTGTGTCTATGTATTTAGTACGTAGCGCCGCCGTGGTCTCTAGTAAGCCTACGGCTGTGCGTAAAGTGCATTATCAATGTGCAATATCGACATGCACCATACAGACGTAGAAACCCATGGACCAAAAGTCAGCCATGCCATCAGCATGCGCCGTCTCAGTCAGCACCGGGATGGTTGGCTGACGGGGACAGCCACCACGTCGCGCGTCATTTTTCGCCCTTTATTTGTCCCCTTCTGTTCCCCGACTCCACTCGAGGCTCTGCATCTGGGTGAGGCGGGAGATGGTCGGGTCCGAGTCCGTCTGTGCTGCTGCTTTGCCCTCGTTGCCATGCTCCATCCGACCACCCTCACCGTTGCACTGGTCCACAAATAGCACATACACACACCCTCTGTAGCACCCCGTAATCAGCCAAACCCCTCCAAACAGCCTTGTTTTCAGCCCCAGCCCCAGCCTCAGCCTGCGCCCACTGACCCGGGACGCAGACAACCTGCGACGTTAGCTGCCAAACCATGTGTGCGCCAAACAGCGAGCATACTGGCACGGATGCCGGCTGAGGCGCCAGTCCGGCCAGCCTATGTCGTCAATGCCCAAATCGGGTTAGTATCTCGGTCTCGGTCGAAAGCGCCCACCGCCCCCGACGTCTATCGTAGTATACTTTTAGTAAGAGCATCACGTGACACCGTGCCAGAGCTTGCTGCCCGCTAGACGCGTGACGCCGCCTCTTGACTGCACCCCACCATGGAGCCATACACCACCAACCACCGTATATAACCCCACAAGCCATCAAGTCATGAAGCCGCACAAGAAAAGCATCCGTGACTTCTTCTCCCCTGCCCCACCCAACAACGCCCACGCCGCCCCGCCGCAAACAAATATACATACCCCCGCACCATCACAGACAGCGCCAGTCCCAGTCCCAGTCCCACCCACCACCAGCAGGCGCATTACCTCCAATGGCACAGAGGTCGTGCTCAATTCAGACTCCGACGATGACTCGCTGCCCGATCTCGACTTTGGTATCACTGCCCCGAAGCCCAACCCCCCAAAGACGGCCACAATCACCACCCGATGCAAGCGCACCTCTGCCAACGACGACGACGGACTACGCATACCCACCAAGAAGGCCAGGGACGACAAGAAAAAGTTCGACACCCTAGTGCAGACGGCTCAGAAGAACCTCGAGACTGAGCGCAGGATCCAGGAGCACAAAGCCGTGCTCAACAAGGCTGTAGAAGAACCAGTGACCACGCGAATCACCATCAACGAGGAAACACTAGGCCAGGCCGTGCAAGATGACGACGATGACCCGCACAAAGCCCATCGGCTCCTTCAAGCCATGCAGAGAACAAACGCTACGCAAATGGAAACCGTCTTTTACTTTTTTGAGCATGACGTAGGCACAATCCCTATGCAGACCAAGTTCCCCATCAATATCCTTCCCCAGCATCGCTGGGCTTCAAACTTCCAGCGGCCCGACACCAGAGACCAGGCATTCATGACCGGCTTTGCACAGCATATTTTCCGTGTCCAAGAGCTTCCCAAAGAGCTGGCCTCCTGGATGATTGATCAAAGTACGCGCACCGCCTCATTATTATTTTTCCTACACTAATCCTTGCAGTTTGTTACAACCAGAATGAGGCACTTAATTGCAAGTACCTTGAAATCCTCCAGGTGGCGTCTTACCCATGTTTAACGCAAAACAACTTCTAACATTCGTCAGGCTCACCATGACCATCTCCATGACCTGCTCGACGCACAAAGACTCGACGCCATATTCAAAACCATAGGCACCAATATCACACAACTCGAGGCTAAAACTCAGCTGCTTCCGCTATCTGTTCCACAATCTGAAATCAAAACATTCATTCCGCCATTTTTGAAGCAAATCGCTGGACTGCTTACACAAGCCGCAACATGGTAAACACAAGAGGTTCCGACAAAGCGTACTGTCATTGACGCCCGCAGGTTGCAAACAGCCACTCGCAGCCACGCATTATATCTACTATGTCACGTATGCTTGGATACCCGTGTTACCGCAGACTTTGATATACTGCATGCTGTACAAGACGCCATGGAAGCCATCATCTGCAATTTCGCCGACAACAAAAAGCTAATATCAGGCGTAGGAGGCCCTCCTCTACAAGACGATGCACCCTTTCTAATCGTCTCCCAGCTAAACACAATCATACCCCAGCTACTTACCAAAGTCACTCATCCCGTGTTACAGAGAAACTTGACCTGTGCCCTTCCAGCCATGTGTCCATTGACCGCATACCTGCAGCGCCATCTGGCTTTTTCGTTCCTGCTTCACCCTACACCAGTCAGCATGTCTCTTGCAGATGACAAGGCACATGACCTTGTACTTGACCACATTACAAAATCACCTGACTTCTTCATAAACAAGAATACTGACTATGGTCACCTCGCCGCCCGGCTGGCCCTTCTCGACATCGCCATTGGACCAGGGCTCTTGGCTGTGCCGTACCAGCCGTTGTCAAGTTCAGCACCATCCGAAGCAGGCTCTTCCCCAATTCATGCTCCAGTGCCGGCTTCATCAGAGGTCAGGCAGTTTAACGAGCAGATCGATGCACTTGCGCAACAAATCAAGCTCCTAGGCAATTCTATTGTCGAAGCTGGCGCAGTGGTGGACATTGCCATTCTAGAAACCAAAAACTCTATAGAGCGAATGTGCGCACGATTGGAACACGCGTCGCGAATAGGTGGCAAGAAGATTCACGACGTTTTTGGGAGCGACGAGGAAGATAGCCAGCTCCGGCTCAGCAAGTTTTTCAAAAAAGCACACAAGTCATCGCCATCTGCACCCTCGCGCGGCATCTTCAAGCAGAATGAAGACTCTGATCTTGACTTGGTCGATGGTACACAGACCTGAAAACAGCTCGCTGTTCGGACACTATTTACTCCCAGACCCCACGTTCCCAAAGCATGCCGTCAGCCATGACCGACAATCAAACCTCGTTCATACCAGTTGCGCCATGATGGCAGCAACCCCTGCACCCCTCAATCAGAAGCAATTCCCACCGTCGTCGGCTCAGTGCTTGGCATTGTTGGGTTCCACGCAACGCTCTCAGGGGGATCTGCAGGAGCAGGTACGTGTCGTATCCCCGCGTCGCCCGAGCCACCCTCATCAAAAGGTGCAACGATTTTCGACGCTCATTTCATGCACGCAAGCCGTGATTTCCTTCGGGCGAAATTGCCAAGGCGGTCTAGAAAGAGAGACGAGGCTCCAACCGCTGCCTGAAAAGGAATCTCTTCAAACGTCCACCCCTTCGCTTGGTCGCGTCCAAGCCACGGCAGCCAATATCTGCAGACAGGCAGATGAAACCCCACTTTGCCTCTCGCACATGCACCTCTAGTCCTCACCTCCCAAAAATGTTCAAGCTCGTCCTGCCCGCCTGTCGCCTGTCGCCTGTCTCCTGTCACGCTGCATGGGGGGCTTGCTGCGAGACGGCGGCCTTGTTCATGCAAGCTAGGTGCTGGTCAGTCGTCGTGGGTGGGGGTGCGTTGCTTAGTTCCCGTTGTACCCTGAAAAAACTACGCTTGTTGCATTGACTCAATTCCATCACGTGTAAGCCATAATGCCACTCGTATTTTCTGTGTGTTGCTTGCCTTGTGCTTAAAACTATTGATTATACCCCTCCCCCCATGCTACTTTTTTTTGGGATTAACAGCCCTGTAATGAGATACAAGCATGGGATCTTGGTCCATCCTTGGTTATATGCACGGTTCTTTTTGCGCTCCTGGTGCGCACAGTAGAATAACGGCATGTGGGGTGAGGCGGCGGGATATTGGAGCAAGGGAGCGCGACGTTCGGGTACCGACATGCGGCTCTGTAACACCACCTCTGACTCTCCGAGATGCTTTGTCCGGTTTTGAAAGTGAGAAGACGGCGTGTTGGACTAAATGTAAGAGGAGCCTGATAGTTTGTTGACCTGTGAAATGGATAGCTTGTGGAAGAGTGATGTATGCTTTTTTTTCTGGCTTTGTGCGGGGTTGGAATGGTTCTTGCATTATGGGTGGTGGTTAATCGGTATTTGTTTGAGTTGCAGATGAAGAACAGTATACACCCAAAAAAAAAAGAGAGACAACAATACTATTAAATATAGTGATACTGTTGAATTGGAAATAGTATAGCCTCTATACTTAATTCTACTCTTCTTTTCTTGCTCCCCTTACAAATGCCTGTGAGTAGGCATTCCGTGAACTTGTTAAGCAAAATATACAACTTCAAGAATAATTACAATGACATCGTACTATACCGTGGTGTTTCTCGCAAAACCTGGACTACGCTAGCAACTAACCGAACAAACAACATTATTATCTTTCTTAATACGTCCCCAAATTATGAATGAGAGAGAGAACAACAACCTGCAAGGGCTCACGTCACTGGAAATCGTAAGTTGACAAGAGCGATACAATATCACCGTGTACACGCATCACTTGGAAAAAGAAGAAGAAAAGTAAAAGAAAAGAATGAGAGAAGAGAAAAAATGGGAGCATACGACGTGTTTTACGACCCTTGTACCGAGGGAAATAAACATTAACTATTACACGCATTGTGTGTTGTAGTCTGGAGCAAATCACTTTTCAATCAAAAGATGCGTGTGCAAAGGAGTTAAAACTAAACTCTTATTCTCAGCCTTTTATGTACAATGAAAAAAAAAACGTACGCTACGTAGCTCAGGCAGTATATCTATATGAAAAAAAAGACGATCCACGACGTTTAATAAATCAGAAAGCGAGGAAAAGAAACGAAGATATGATACTTTAAAACCCCGAGTTTTTGTTCAGCACTGCTGAAACTCTTTCTTTTTTATTAATGTTTCCCTCCCACTCACTGACAGCCCATTTACATCACCTAGGAAGGAAGAGAGAAAGGGTTAAGGAGAGGAAAGGAAAAAAGAAGAGGAAGGAATGGTAAGATGTCCCTCCCCTCACCTCTCCCACCTCCCACCCACTCCTCCTCTTTCTCTTTCTCTTTCTTTCCTAATCATGCTTTACTCCACCTTACAACCCACCAAACCCATTCTTCTCATCAATGTGCCTGTAGCGCTCCTGCTCCATACGGTACTTGAGCACCATGGCAATGCACAGGACAAGAATGACATCGACACCAACGATACCAAAGGCAGCCGTGAAGATCTGATCGAGGTACCTGTTTGCAAAGGATGAGAATTTGCCGATGCAGCCGCCCTTTTGCGCGGCGACGAGCGTGTTTTGGCAGGTGCTGTCTTGGACAAAGGGTGGCGTGGTTGAGTTTACGTAGCCGCAGCAGTCGAACTGTGTTTGGCGTTAGTCACAACCCCATATATATATAACTCTCAAATCGGATTGAAGAGAAGAAGAAAAGAAAACCTACACGTTGCTGCAACAGAGACTGGATAAGAGGAGACTCGCCTCCCCAGAGGGCACTGAGGTTCCTACGCGTCTCGAGGGTTTCGACCCAGATGGCGACACCGAGGCCGAGAGTAAAGGTGGCGCAGACGACGACGAGCCAGCCTTGGATGCGGAGCCAGCCTCGGTTGTTGGGCAGGAAGAGGCCGGGGAGGGAGAGGAGGAAGGTGACGAAGACGAAGATGGCGTTGACGACACCAGCTAGAATACATTGTTAGTTTGATGATGTTGGTGTTGTTGTTGTAGCAGTTTCAAGACTGATAGGTCGGATATATCAAAATGTCACTGGTGTTCACTAGGGATCGGTCCGTACCTGTCAAGGGACACTGTCCAAGCAGCAAGTTCTTAGTGACATTATCGACAGTAGGACTGGCACGCATCGATTGCTCAGAGATGAGGGAGAAGCCCAGCAACAACCCTCCACAGCCGGCAAAAAGCAAGTCCATGCCCACAAACGTCATCATCAGCTTGGTCGGCATCTTGGCGGTTGGATACGGTCAAAAAAGGGGAGTGTGAGTGGACTTGAAAGTTGGGAAGACCTCCAAAGAAACAAATAAAAAAAGAAGAAGAAGAGAAAATAGGAATAGAGAATGGAAGAGAGTTCGTCCGGCGTACTCGGTGATGCTAACCACTGCGTCGAGCGAGTGAGTGAGTGACGGGTAAAGAAGATTAGATGTAAGAAAAGAGGAGGGGGAGAAGAGAAGGAGAGGGAGAAAGCACGACCAGCAAGCACACAGCAAAAAAAAAAGTGGCGTCACAAACAGAAAGACAAGTCACGGCATTAGGGGTGTTAAGGGCCAGCGTTAAGAGCCTCTGCGAGGGGTTGTGTTGCAGTTTGCAGACATGACGATGCGTGTGAGGTTTCAGTAGTGTTGGAAGCAAGAGCGTGGGCCAATGAGGACGCCACAACGGGCATTGTGGTTCGATGTTTTGGCGCTTGCGACGTCGGTGCGGCCACAGAAGGGGAGTGGAGCAAGTAGAATACTTATGGAGAGCAAGGTGAGTGATGCGACATGACGGTTTGCGTATGTATGAAGTATATGGAGTACATGAAGAATGGATGGATGGACGTTGATGGGCGGCAGTGGTTTGGGGGAGTGGGGGTCACGTGGGTAAGAGTGAAGCAAAGCGGTCGACGGATGGCTTGTCGAGGGCTGGCGGGTAGGAAATGTGCAGGCGGCAGGCGCCACCAACAGTACAGGGAGACAAGGGAAGGCGCTCAGCAGGTGAGGAAGGCTAGACCGGGCAGCTGGCGAAACGAGACCGCACGGGGAAGGAGGCTAAGGGTGGTGCTTGCCCAGCGATGCAGGCCACGGCTTCCCAGTCGGGGGCCCACCAAGCACCTGCACCGTCCAAACACAGGGCCGCCTCGGGACGTTGGATTGCACCAAGCAAAGTGTCGGCCGCCGTAGCAGTCAGTGGCAGCTGTCGTCAAGGGAGGCGATGGATGATGGATGGATGGATGGGTCTGCATGCACAAGGGCTGCCCATCGCATTCGGGGGTTTAGGCAGGTAGGCAGGTGGCATGCATGGCCGTGGGTAGTAAGTAGTGTAGCCCGTGGTGCTAATGCTGAATGACTGGCCAACGGGCCCTTAGCTACTTAGTCCTGACAGCGACACTCTCTCTCATACACGCCCTAGCCTGAGAGTCGAGCGTAGTTAGGTGAGTAAGCCGTGCGTCGTGTGTCTGTGAGTGTCTTGCAAGTATAGGCCGACCCGAGGGTGGGCAACCGACATTCACCAGTTGACCGTCAATCTGACTTGAGCGGGACTAGCGCTACCATCTGGCCAATGGCGGGCGTTGCAAGTCCCGGGCCGTGCCCAGCTGGCGTCTAGCGCAGCCCTCGGCCTCACGGACGGCGCTGTTTTTGTGTGGGAGGGCCGTTGCTGTTCATCTCCAAAAGCGACCTGACAGGCCCAGCTGGTCCAGACGCCCGTACTGGCCCTCTGCCTGCCCGATGCCCGCTCGTCGACAAAAATGTATGTAGGAAGCCATGGCGACGGCAGTGGTCATGATGGTGATGAATACAACAACACCAGCCAGCAGCCTGCGCCGTCGCTGGTCGCGTTTGCAGCCAGCCCGCCACCAGGACTGCGATTCCTGTTCCGATCTGCGATTCAGAGCAGTGACCAGGGTCGCGCTCAAGCGGCATCCGCCCCCAGTTGCCAGTGGGTAGTTGACGGCCTGCCCGCACCAAAGCAGCCAAAGCAGCCGTCCAGAGAAATACTTGACCACTCCCGCCGTTTCATTCCCAATCCCGTTCGTCCCTTTCCTTCTCAAGACAGCTCGCGGGCTATACCTAACACCTCGACGCTGCACCACTCTTTTCTGTCCCTGCGTGTCCGCGCCTGGCATACCGCGGCCCAGCTCCCCACAGCGAAAAGGCAGGGTCACGAGAACCACACGCGCCCGCCCATTCTACTTGCTACTCTCTCTCCACACACACACATCTACTACCACCTCCATTCCCCAACGGCGCGCGCGAAAAGCAACACGCCCGGCCAGCAACTGCAGAAAAGAAAAGAAAAGAAAAGTCACACAACGAGGTGCGTACTTTCCGTCACGAACCGTCACCCCTACCCTGCCCTCCCCTTCCCTTTCCCTTGGCCTGGCCTGCCTACCTGCCTGGCCCCTCGCACCCCGGTCGCGCAGGTCAGTGTGGTCACGCTGGCTAGCACCCCCCCCCAGCCACTCCCTGCCGCACGGCTCGCCGAGTAATTAGCGCTTTCCGCCGGCAGCACCGTGCGACCGAGCGTGCCCTCCCCGCGCACCTTTCCTTGCCATTTCCTGCTGCGCCATCACATAGGGACCAGCGCCCGATCTTTTAACAGGCCGCGCTTCCTTTTCCTATTGAGGTCAACCTTTGAGTCTAACCAAACTCAACCTGTCTGCAGTTCGTTCTGTAACATTTTGCAAGCCCGCCCAAACCACACAAGAACGCCTGCCAACTCCCCACACTCCGCCGCATCCAGTTTAGGGCCCTCGTCCGCCAAACACTGCCGGTAACCACCAACACACTGCCGTCCTCGACAACCACCATGGCCAGCGAAATCACCGAGCACGACCAGAACGCGTCGCCCTCCGTCCACGACGACGGAAATGGCTCTCTCGGCATGGAGAACCGCGGCGTCAAGCGTGCGCGCGCTGCTGCCGACGACGATGACGACGACGACGATAAGCCCGGCCGCGAGCGAAGAAAGATTGAAATCAAGTTCATCCAAGACAAGTCGCGTCGGCATATTACCTTTTCCAAGCGCAAAGCTGGTATCATGAAGAAGGTACGTTTTGTCGTCAAAAACGCTCGTTTTTTTTGTTGTCCCTGTGCGCGCCGCGCGAACACATCCTTCACACGCATCCATCTACACTCCCCACCTGCGCAACCAAGAAGCCCTTCTTTTGCTAACCATGGCAACCCTCACAGGCTTACGAATTATCCGTCCTCACCGGTACCCAAGTCCTGCTGCTCGTCGTCTCTGAGACAGGTCTTGTCTACACGTTTACCACACCCAAGCTGCAACCGCTTGTCACCAAGCCCGAGGGCAAGAACCTCATCCAGGTAAGGCTGCTCTGTTCCTCTTTCAACCCAATCCCTTTCGCATTCCATTACTAAGCACACCCGCAGGCCTGTCTGAATGCCCCAGAGCCCTCAAGTGGTGATGCAAACGGTGTCGACAACGACACGGTCGAGTCGCCCGAGGACAACCATGCCCAAGTGCCACCGGGTCAGCCCCGCATGCCCCCCAACAACCAGGCCATGCCTCAAGCCTACATGACCCCAGAGGCTGCTCTGCACTACCAGAGCTATCTGCAACAGCAACAGCAGCAGTCAAACCAGTACCCCATGGCGCAACAAGGCATGCCCCGCCATCCTGGAGGTCACTATCCCCAGGACCAGAAGCTGGGTTAGACGTTAATACATGTATACTTCTACCGGTTCGGTAGCAGGTCAACTCCTCGCAAGGCGCATAGTAACTGGATATGGATACCCACATAATGGCAAAAAAGTAATCACGGTGTCGCTCGGCGAGCGGTCGCGCCGATGTACGAGATGCGGAATTTCGCATTACAATGGCGGTAGCAGCAGTGGTAGCAGTAGCAGCGGCACGATGTCATGTGGGCACGCAATGTTGGAGAGAAATGCAGTTGCACTTGCCGGACGACTGTATGTCCTTACGCGGATATTGGCGTGGTGTGGTGTTTTCTTTGTTCTCATCTCCTTTTGCTATCACCCTCGACATCTCTAGCATTTGGTGTCTCATTTAGCAGGTACTGTTTAGATCAGATCTCTCTCTCCCTCTCTCTCGCTGCCCATGGCATCGGGTCGAATGCAGTACGATAATTCACTCTACGCTTCACCTTTTCACTTTTGTCCCGTCCGTTCGTGGGCCGCTACTTCCCTGTAAGCCTAGTTTGGTCTGGGCATTGCTTCCTGTTTTGTCGCCCCATACTTGCCTTTCTGGGAGAAGATGACGTGCCCATTGCCCCAACACCAAACTCTCCGTACTATTTGATCATGCGGTTAACCATTTTTTATAATCGGCTTGTTCACCAACCCTTTTGAAACCACAATGTAGCCCCCAACAAACTCAAGACTAGTGACACCACCCAACATACACACACACACACACACACACACATACACACTACTTACACGCACTCTCTCCCACTGCTCTACCCACACCACAGTACTATTGCTAAACTACACTCGGGACACGAGGTCTGAGGATGTAACGTTACCTCTAATCTCGTGCACGACTCGCCCAAGGTTTGTTGCAAGGTTTCCTTTGCGGTCCGTTTAGAACACAGATTCCAAAAAAGATGCCCTCGAGGTTCCGTTACACCCGCGAATGCATCCCTTTTTGTGAAGCCCTATGTATACGCAAAGAGGACTCGAAGCGATCAGGAAACCCTGGCTACATGAACACATTTGAAATAGGGGAGCAATCGTCTTCGCCTTTTGCTTCAATATGAGTACACAGGTGGTACGATGTCGGTGTACACGTATGCGGAACACAGGCAGCCCACCGGTGCGAGCGCTCCCGCCACCGGCAAGTTCGGAACTTTACCAAAGAGCCGTGCACCTATAAAGAGGGTGCTCGAGAGAATGCAAAAGAGCGCCACAGTCGGGCGAATGAGGCTTGTGGGAATGACGAAAATCCCTATGGGTGCGCAGACGAAGATTATCAGCACTCAAAATCAGGGTCCTGTCCTTTTCTTTTTTCAGACAACGCACATACCCAGACAAGGTAACTACTTGATGAGACAGAAGCATGGCGTGTGTCGGACCACAAGTCTTTTATCACGCTGACTACTACTGCCGCCATAGGGCTGACCTTTTTTTCCCTGCCAGCTACCGCAAGGCCACAGTGACGGACCGCTCCGCTGAACCTCTCCACCTAAAGAGACATACGGCGTAACTACAGTGCAACAAGAAAGCCTCTCACCTTGTACTCTTTCTTCTTCTTCTGTCCACGGTGCTCATAGCCAACGATTTTCTCGAAGACATGGGGGGGGGAGTCTGAGCATGGATTGTGCAGACCCACCAGCTCTGCTCGCCTCGTACACTTGACTGGGTCTCACGCGTCCGTACTGTGTAGATCCTGGGTACTTGTTGATTGTGTGCCACGATACGCGTCACTCTGCCGCTCGGGTGCCGGCTTCGTCCCGTCGCAGGGCATTTTACTTCTTCGAGCGATCCCCGCATTCCGCAGAGCCAATGCCCTTGGCTGGGGACCAAATGTGACACACAGACCTCGATTTCTTTTACATCACCAGTACCCTTCCCGGCCATTGATACCATCGGTCCCGTGTGTGGTTGAACCTTTTGCGTTTCCACCAATCCACACCTTGCTTTGTTCTCCCAGACTAACTATACTAACCAGCCCGCGCATTAAAAGCACCATGGTATAAACGACCACGACACATGGTCCCCGACCGAAGGATTGCATGACCCACTTCACAGCTGCTTCGCGTAGTCCATCTTTCAGCTTGCTCACAAGTAGGATTCGCTTAATATCAAGCCGTGGTAAAACTCCCTTGCTCGTATAGTCCAGCTCCTTGTGTACTTGCGCAAGTTGCACGCCATCCCTATTGTCCTGTGCTTGGAACCTGGACTCTCTCACCACACCATAGTAAGCGCGAACGACAGCTGTGCACAGGTCGCCAACCAATACATATAATTTCTTTTATCAGCTCATCCAACGATGATTTGCTGCTTCCTTATCTGCAAGTTGTTTGTTTCTTCCCCTTCCCCTCCCACCTTTCCTGCCATAATAGTGCCGAAGCACCCTATAAGATAAGTTCTTACGTCCTGCAAGCCAACATATAAGCTTTAATGATCCCCCCCCTCCGCCAACCCGCCCTTGGCACCATGCATAAAAGCGTTTGGTACCAGGACTGCCGTGTAGCATTTTGTTTCCATAGGCTTTTTACACGTACTTACCTGTCCCCTCTGAGTAGCTCCTGACCTTTTTCTTCTTCTTTTGTCTATCTAGCTGCTAGGCTACTTGAAAGATGACGCGCAATGCCTCAGAAACCAAACCCCCAGCCCCAACGCAAAAGGAGGTCCTAAGCCATGCCACCACCATCGACCCAGAGAGCCCCCCAAGCCTCCTCTCCATCGACGCCGACGCCCTCAAACTCGCCTCAATGGGCTACACCCAGGACATGCGCCGCAAATACACCGTCTGGTCCGTCCTGGGCGTCGGCTTCTCAATCACAAACTCGTGGTTCGGCATCTCGGCCGCGCTCATCACAGGCATCAACTCTGGCGGGCCTTTGCTTATTATCTACGGGATTTTGCTCATAGCGGTCATCTCGACGGCGGTAGGTGCGAGTTTGAGTGAGTTGGCGAGCGCGATGCCGAATGCCGGGGGTCAGTACTTTTGGGCGGGGGCGCTGGCGCCGAAGAGGTGGAGGAGGGGCGCGAGTTATGTGACGGGGTGGTTGGCGTGGTGGGGGGCTATGTTTACGAGTGCGTCTGTTGCGTTGGCCGTGGGAGGCGCGGTTGTGGGGTGTTGGCAGTTGGGGCATCCTGACTTGTAAGTTCAGATTTTTTTATTTATTTATATATATTCCTTGTTTCCTTTTATCCCCCCCCCCCCTTTCCGTCGTCTTGTTTTTTGATATGTGGAGATGAATGGAAAGTTATGTGGTAAAGATATATATATATTGTGTATGTGTCTATTGTGAAAGAAAGAAAGAGAGAGATAGAGAAAGAAGAAGTGCTGAGTGTGCCCCCCTTCCCCAAAGCACGATCAAAACCTGGCACGTCTTCCTCGCCTACCAACTCTCGAACCTCTTCTGCTTCCTCTTCAACTGCTACGGCAAGATTCTGCCCTCCGTCGGCAGCACCACCCTCTGGACCTCGCTCATCTCCTTCCTCGTCATCCTCATCACCGTCCCCGCCGTAGCACCAACCCACCAACACGCCCGCTTCGTCTTCGCCACCTTCATCAACAACACGGGATGGAGCGAAAACGGCATCGCCTTCATCGTCGGCCTCGTAAATACAAATTGGGCTTTTGCCTGTCTGGACTGCGCCACGCACCTCGCTGAGGAAATTCATTGCCCCGAGAAAATGGTACCGATTGCCATCATGGGGACTGTAGCTATCGGTTTCGTAACAAGCTGGTTCTTCTCCGTCGCTATTTTCTTCTCTATTGTCGGGGATTTTGCTGATATCAGTGCGTCCGCCACTGGCGTACCTATCCTCGAGATTTTCTTTCGCGCGCTAAATAATAATACGGCTGGCGCTATTGTACTGGAGAGCCTGATTATCGTGACGGGCTTGGGTTGTCTTGTTGCGAGTCACACGTGGCAGAGTCGGCTTTGCTGGAGCTTTGCGCGCGATCGCGGTGTACCGGGGCATCGGTGGTTGGCGCAAGTGGATACCGGGTTGGATGTTCCACTGTATGCACATGCGGCGAGTTGTGGAGTTGTGGCTGTGATGGGGTGTTTGTATTTGGCGTCTTTGACGGCGTTTAATTCGTAAGTTGTTCTCTTTCCCCCTTCTTCTTATATACATTTATATGACCGAACTGACGGGATGTATTCTAGAATGATCGCAGCGTGTATTGTTCTTCTGTACCTCAGCTACGCAATCCCCGTCTCATGTCTTCTGCTTCGAGGCCGCAACAATATCGAGCATGGCCCGTTTTGGCTGGGCCCCTGGGGTGCGGTTGCGAACGTTGTGTTGCTTGTCTGGACGCTGTTTACGCTTGTCATGTATTCGTTTCCCTATGCGAAGCCTGTTGAGCCGGGTAATATGAATTGTAAGTTCACCCTCCCCCCAGTTGTCTTGCTTGGGTAAGCAATGGAATGGATTATGCTGATTTGAGATTAGACGTCTCTGTGGTATATGTTATTGTTGCTTGCTTTGCGGGTGTTTATTGGTTGGTTAGCGCACGTAAGGACTTTAGTACTGTGGAGGAGCGCAAGGTGGAGGTGCTTCAAGGGAGAGGTGTGGACAGTTAGATGGGATGGTAGTTGGGGAGTGGAAAGCTTTTAGCTGGTGTTGGGTTAGTACAGTACGGACATTTTGATGACCGAAACGTTTGTCTTGAATTCATAGGAGAAGCTCGGGTTTATTATAGTCCAATATCAAATGAGTTCAGAGAAAACCGGAACGTAAAAATATTCCGTGGAGAAGTGCGGTACATATTGTAGATTTGGTAGTATCTGTGTTATGAGCTCATCTCTAACGTCTTAAATTACCTAATTAGGATATCCCTGTGTTATCATGTGCAACTGCAAATTTACTGGGTGATAAAGTCAACTGTGCAATGCCTTGATAAAAGAGTTGCTATGGAGATAGAACAGGAAGCGTAATAGGCTTGGCAGGCTCAGGAACGCGGACGCGGGGCGCTAGCAGAGGCCGCGTCGCGCGTTTGCATAGGGCCTTGTTCGAATGCACTGACATCCCATCATATGTGCCTTTTCTTTCTTTCTGTCGCAACCGACGCCCCCGACTCCTACCATCTTCCCACTGAACCCGCTCTCTCACCGACGCTCCTTTGACAACACATTCCCAAGTTCCGTATTTGCAATCCACAGCTGCCCTCGCACCTTTGACCCAGAATCGGTGCCGCGCACCGGGTAATTGATAGCGGGCGTGTGTACCTCGGTTCCTGGCACGATTGATAGGTCATCGCCTTGTAGATAGACACAGGTGCGCATACGAAAAAGCGAACAGGAGTCTTGGGGGCGCTCAATGCTGGGTTGTGGCTTGGCATCTCAAAGGGACTTGTGAAAGGGCATTCCGTCCCAAGTGAGCGTCTTGGTGAGAGAGTATGGCGGAAATACTCGAGAAGATAAAGTAAGTAGTGAGACGCGCAGAGCCACACATCTCGTGCCTTTACCTATCGCAGTCTATTTATTCACCAGCCTGCGCCATGTGTTCCTTCCTCAATCATCTCTATGCACCTTGACTAGCCATGGCTGACTTGGCTCCTTGCAGCGAGCTTCGAGAGCTGCCCGAAGACCAGCATCTCTTCTGTCCCCGCATCGGCGACGATGGGTCTGTTTACTACGATGAAGACATCGCCGCCTACCCACCGGAAACCGACCCCGCCGAACTCGAAGATCGCAGGATAAAGATCCAGGCAGCCGAGGAGCGGAAATGGACGGCACTCAAGGCGACAGAGATATTGGCATTTGATGGAGAGGAAGCAGCACCACACAAGGAATGGCTAATTAGCCGGCTCAACCACCTGATGCAGAGCTGCGATGTCTGTGTGAGGGTCTTCCATCAGTCCAGAGCCGAGTGGCGGACACGTCTACTCGACTCGTATGACGAGGAGAACATCGGCCCATTTCTAGAGGTGGTGGATGCTCAATGCTTGCAACGAATACACAAGGGCCTGGATGAGGCGGCCGAGATCCTTTGTAAAGCCGAACCGAAAACACGCTCAGTACGACTGCTGCCGAACGAATGCACTTATGGCTTCTTCGAAGCCTTGAGCTGCGATGCACTAATACGGAACGAGGAGCTCCTCCAGAAACACTTTGACGCTCCCTTCGACATGGTTCAAACGAAGAAACGATTAAAGATTCAGACATACCTTCCAGCCATGACGCGCTTCTTGTTCAGCAGGGTCGAGCGGCGCCAAAAATGGGCGACGGAGTCGTGGTCTACTTTCAAGCGCAATATGTTGAAGTCTGAGTGGGATTGGGCTGTGCGGGACTACGTCACAAGTGCCATGATGAAGATTCAGATGTACAACCTCGACATCTCCATGGTACCTCTTTTTTGGAGTGGCGCGCGGCTCATCGTTGCAAAGATGGACAGAGATCTCATTACCGAATCCTTGCGAGGGCTCGACGGAGATTTCTACCGGCTGATGCTCGATCACCTTTCACTGAAATCAGAGGGCTTCTTGGACTTGATTGCGACAATGAAGCAACTGCTCGAAAAGTCTCCAGTCGACTACTGGGACGGCATGAATGCGGTTACCCCATCTATTGCAACGGTAGTCGAACAAGTGTTCAACAGTCCCGTTTTCAACCAAATACTCTTAGCAGCGGCGGAAGATAAAGAGCAGAATATGAATAACCTCCATTCTGCCTTTGGCTGGATACCGCCTTTTCTTGACTCGATCAAGCTGGCAAATCTTGGACCAGCAGTTCGGCCTTTTGCTCAAGCGCTCCTTGGCCGCTTTCAATCAGACAAATACCCGCAAAAGTCTCGGGAATACTGCTACAGGGAAGGTCTTAAAGTACTGGACTATGCATTCCGCAAAATGGGAGAAGGCAAGACTATTGATAGATTTGTTGGCCAGCCCACCGTCAACAGCATGCTTGACGTGCTATCTACCTACATACAGGCACTTGTCGTGAACTTGAAGCGTTTCAAGGCAAGTAAAGAGGATCAAGGGGACTTTCAATTAGCACTCTCGGTCATTGAGCATGCTTTCAAGCTCGAGGCACAGTCTTTGATCATCGAGAGGCAATTGATCTCTGCGAAGCAGCCATCGCCCACTGAGACACCACCGTCCAGTCCCATCTGGAAGACTGTCTTGAAGGCGATTGGCCCCGACAGCTTAGAACTTGCAACGCATATGCTCATTGCCGGGAGGGGCCTGATCGGCCTTGAACCACTGCAGATGAAGTCAGGTGTGGACAAAGTGCCCCCGACGGTGCGCCATTTCAACGATCGCTTTAGGTTGTTATCTCAATCTATTACCGATGTCGTGGAGAAGATGTCTGAATTTGAGCCCAGCTTGCTGCAAGCGCTGTTTGGCCAACAACCCGCAGCCAGCGCAATTGTCTCGTTGATGTTCTCATCCACGGAGGATACCCGCAACTCCGCTATTGAGCTTTTGAAGGTCATCAGTGGAGAAGAAGAGCGCCGCGGGGCACTGCAACACATACTAAAGGCCCATTACAGACATGTCGTGCGAGGTATCTCAGATTCAGTGCGGCAGGTCAGGTTGAAGAAGGCATTTTCTCCTGTGCCTAGTATGATCAGGTCTTGCAACGACATCATCGACATCATTTGCAATACTCAGGACGGTATCTTGCGTGGCCGAGAATACGAATCCGGAGACGCCGCGGCGACGATGAACCTGTGGGAGAACCTTTGGGACTCGCTCACTATGATCTTTGCAACGACCGAAGCCTGGAGTAATTTGGGCTTCTATGACAAGGCCATGATGATGGATTTTTGCAGAGACACTATGCAATTTGCTGATGTCCTGTTTGACCAGTGCAGCATTTTCGTGACTGCCTTAAAACCTCCTTCCACAGATGATGAAGAGACCACGTCAAAAACTCAGTTGCTGAAAGAGCTTCTAGCACGACCTGCGAATGCTATGGAAGGTCTGGCAAGATGGTTGCGTCTCCGCGATGAGTTCTTGTCGAGTAAATCCGTTACCTTGATCAGCAAGCTACTTGTCAGGTTACACCGGGTATCCATTGAGATTGATGCTGAAACGCTCTCGTACATGGAGCGCGTGCTTTCAGGAGATGTGCGCGCGAAGCTCAGCGATACGCAGCAGGCTGAGCTGCAACAGGCTTTGGAGGAGCATCTCGGACGCCCGCTTGTCAAAGAAGAAGAGCCTGTTAAGCCCAAGCAAGTTTCCATCAGCAAATGGATGGCTCCTGGTGCTACTTCATCGTCACCAGCTGATGCCAAAGCCAAGTTGCTTGCTAGTATGACTTCTGGATCTAGCAAGTTCCAAGAGCGACGAGAGCAGATGAGGGCTGCAGAAAAAGCCGCGCAGAAGGCAGCTGAAGACAAGAAGAATGCTACGCAAGCCGAGTTCAAACGCAAGCGGCAATTAGACAAGGAGAAACGCGAGAGGGAGAAGGCCGCTGCGGTTGCCAAGGCCAAAGCAGCTAGGGGCATCACTGCTGAAGCTGGTTCTGGACTGGAAGGTTTGGGAGTCTTGGGCAAAGATCAGGCTGCAAAGGGCGAAGGCTTGATGCATTCATCTGACGAGTCGTCAGATGAAGAGGGAGACATTGACGAAGACCTCTTTGGCATTAAGAAAGAAAGGGTCAAGGCCGGACCCAGAACAAACATTGTCAACGAAGTCAAAATTCAAATGCCGACGAAGAAGAAGAGGGCTCAAAGATCTGCCAAGGACATGCGCGCTCGTTTGGCACCTGATCTTAGTAGCTTACATCGTACTATCCTCAGCTGGAACTACTTTCACGAAGGCGACTTTCCGCCAAAGTCAAGACCAGAGCTGTATTCCAAGGTCCTTAACACCTTCCGCACACCCAACGACTACCAAAATACTTTCGAGCCGCTTCTAACCCTTGAAGCGTGGCAAGGCTTTGTCAAAGCTCGCGAGGAGAACCAAGCCAGGCCGTACGAGATACGCATCACATCGCGAGCTGCCGTCGACATGTTCCAGGAGATTGGTAGCACTATGACACATGTCGAGAACAGGGAAGTGTTCATCTCTGAAGGTGACATTATTCTCTTTTCGCAGTCCAAGAATCCCTCGGCTGAGGAGCCGACTTGCCTTGCCAGAGTATTCCGCGTGAAGCGAAAGCAACAGCATATTGAAGTCTCATACCGCGTTGTACCAGGCAACCCGCTCAACTCGGCGCTGCAGCCAAACAACACTCTGCTCGGTACCAAGCTGCAGTCCATCACTCCTCTGGAACGTGAATATGGTGCGCTCAAGGGTCTTCAGTACTACGATCTATGCGATGAGATCATTCGGGCGAAACCATCTCCTCTTCTCACCTACAAGGATAGCCAGATCCAGCCGCTCATCTCTAACTACAATGTCAACACTGCACAAGCGAAAGCCATCAAGTCAGCTATTGATAATGATGCATTCACTTTGATCCAAGGGTAAGTCATCACATATATGTTTACTACTACAAATGCTAATTGTTATCGCAGTCCCCCTGGTTCTGGAAAGACCAAGACCATTACTGCCATTGTAGGAGCTATCCTCAGTGACAGCCTTCGCAATCGTGGCACCACTATTTCTGTTCCCGGTCAGCAGCGATCAGAGGCTGCGTCAAAGAAGTTACTGGTCTGTGCGCCCAGTAACGCAGCCGTTGATGAGTTGGTGATGCGTTTCAAGGACGGGATCAAGACGCTGAATGGCGAGTCGCGCAAAGTCAACATTGTGCGTTTGGGACGAGGTGATGCTATCAAGGCCAGTGTGCAGGATGTGACACTTGAGGAGCTTGTCAACCAGCGATTAGGTGTCGATCCATCGGACAGCAAGGATAAAGAGGCAACGCAAAAGCTTTTCCAGGACCACAAGAAGATCTCAGACCAGCTCAAGCAAGCTTACCAGCAGCGAGACTCTGGCGAGGTCAAGGGTGACGCTGCCGCCAAGCTTGAAGAAGACATCAATGCTCTACGCAGGCAAAAAACGGCTCTCGGAACAAAGATTGACAACGTAAAAGACGATGAGAAGCTTGCCAGCCGTAATGCCGATCTCAACCGACGAAGGGCTCAGGAAGCAGTTTTGAACGAGGCACACGTCATTTGTGCAACGCTGAGCGGATCCGGTCACGAAATGTTCCAGGGTTTGAGCATTGAGTTTGAAACCGTTATTGTTGACGAAGCCGCCCAGTGTGTTGAGATGAGCGCACTCATTCCCCTCAAGTACGGATGTGCCAAGTGTATCTTGGTCGGAGATCCGAAGCAATTGCCTCCAACAGTCTTTTCTAAAGAAGCGGCGCGCTTCCAGTACGAACAGAGTTTGTTCGTCCGCATGCAGAAGAATCATCCAAATGATGTGCATTTGTTAGACACACAGTACCGTATGCATCCGGAAATCAGTTTATTCCCCAGTCAGACATTTTACGATAGCAGACTGTTAGATGGTGGCGACATGGCTGGGCTTCGCAAGCAGCCGTGGCATCAAAGCATGGTCCTTGGACCATATCGCTTTTTCGATGTCAAAGGTCAGCAGGCGGCTGCGCCAAAGGGTCATTCGCTTATCAACGTTGCTGAGATCAAAGTTGCAATGCAACTGTATAAGCGACTGACCTCTGACTACCCCGACTACGACTTCAAGGGCAAAGTCGGCATCATTACGCCTTACAAGAGTCAGTTGCGTGAGCTGAAGCAGAGTTTCATGCAGGTGTATGGCCAGAGCATTATCGAAGACATTGATTTCAACACCACGGACGCTTTCCAGGGCCGTGAAAGCGAAGTCATCATTTTCTCCTGCGTGCGAGCCTCTCCAGCAGGTGGCATTGGTTTCCTTCAGGATATCCGTCGTATGAACGTCGGTCTTACGCGTGCTAAATCATCTCTCTGGGTTCTCGGTAACTCTGAATCGCTTCAGCGAGGACAGTATTGGAACAAGCTGATTGTGAATGCCAAAGAGAGGAACCGGTTTACTGATGGTGACGTTCCAAAGATGCTGAACCAGCATTCGAGCAAGTTCCCTGCACCAAAGGAAGGATACGTGCAGCCCAACCGGCCTACACCCGAAGTCAAACCAGAAGTCAAGTCTGAGCCCATGAGCAGATCGGGAAGCAACCAGTCTGGCAGCACCTCATCCAGCTCAGACGCAAAGCACATCAAGCAAGAAATTAAGCAGGAAATCAAACAAGAAATCAAAGCCGAGCACAAGCTCGTCCAACACACCAAGCGCAAACTGGACCAAGAACCCAACGGCGTAGACAGCCTTAAACTAGAAAGCAGCGATGTCGAAATGGACGATATCGCCTCCGACGCCGCCTCGACCCCTATGAACGGCGGCAGCGGCCGCTCAACCCCAGCTCTCGCCGACCCATCCCGCCAAAACCCCACAACAACAAGTACAGACGCGACCAACGGCAGCGGCGCCACAAACGGTAGTACCGTCCCACTTCCAACCGACGTCATAGGAGGCATGTCCATGGCTAAACCCAAAATACGGCGTCGTCCCCGCGAACCCGCAAATCCTTTTATCAAGAATAAGAAACCAAGGACTGGGTAAAAGATACCTATGCTTCAGCAAAGCGTGGAAGCGGTTAGATGGCGCATAGGTCTAGCGGTGCTGCAAGAAAGCGTAGCTGGGGGTGGAGATTTTTTTCTTTTGTGATTTGCCAAAATCCATGTGTACGAAATAGCGAGTGTATTAGCATTAAAACTGGCGCTTTTGAGGAGCGGGGACAACATTTATCGAGTGTGGGGTCCGCATGGGTTTTTTTATCTAGGTACTAGCTACATTTGATACGTACTGCATATGTTTATTTTACTTTTTTTTTGACAGAGACGACATGGGTCAACTTCCCCCCCCCTCTTCCATTTATTTTTTTGGGATTTCAAACTTTGCCATCCCAGTTTGCTACGCAAGTCGATCGTCTGGCACGGCTACGATGGTATCTGCGCGCTGATCGGGGAATGTGAGGTCCTGATGGTGGTGCGTGGGTTATATGTCTTCTGTCTTGCTTTTTTGAAGTGGGAGGAATACTGGGTAAGGTAGTTGAATTGAAGATTCTTCCCGCCCGGTAGCATCTTCGTGTGGGGAGGATGCTATAAGTCTAGTTTTCCTCTTTGGGCAGCTACTATCGTTAACGATACCCGGGATGCTGGGCTGGGGCTGAGAAGGGGGGGGGGTGGTGGTGGTGGTGGTGAACCTTTTTTGTTGTGAATTGCATCGCCGATTTTTTTGGTCCCTTGTCTTACTGGATACTTTGCCTGGTTCATGCGTTGTTCAGCACACACGTCACCCGCCATCTTCACCATCGACAATAAACATCGTGCAGTATGTATCTATCCATGCCTCTCCATCTCCGTCACGCGACTCCCCCCCCCTACCTACATATTCCCATTCGAACAACTTTCTTTCTTCTGCCACCCCGGCATTACCCACTTCAATCCTTTTTTTCGCGCATCTGACAAGCATCAGATACCGGGGCTAACGTTTATTCCTTGCCCTTGCTGCCGGAACAAGCAAAAAAGACATACGTCGTTAGTTACCAAGGATGGGGACCGGGTACGAGCAAACTATGGCTTACGATTTTCTGTTGCGCTTTCCGATTTCGTGGATAGAACGTGTACCGTGGATTCGTGGGACTCTGTGCGCGATGGGGGATCAGTGCATCGGAGGGGAGGCTAGGGTGATGCGTTGGTGGTCTTGAGGGATCGGAGATGTGGGGTTTATTTTCTTGTTTGTCGGGTGAGAGAGGGGATTGTTGCGGTGAGAGATTGAAGTTTGCATAGGATTCATTATAATGATGATGGATAGTTTGAATTTGGATAGGTAGCGGTAGTTGATTTTCCTTTTTCCTTTTTTTCGGCTTCGTGCTCTGTGTCGCCTTTTTTTCTTTTTTAGCTTCATTTCCTCATTTCCACTGTTTCAGTTTCAGACGTGGAAAAAAGATATATCTGTGTCTATCCGACAGCTGCGTTGTTTAAACTCTGTTTGCTTGTCCGTTTTGCCTTTGATACACTGCTGTGCGACGATTGAGCTCCCTGCCTTTTTTGTACGATTACGAACTTGAGAAGTGGTTTGTTTACACGCGTATACGGAAAGAGTGCATTGCATGGGTTATTTCGCGTTTGGTTTAGAAACCGCGGATTACTTGCAGGAAGTACAGGTCCAAAGGAGGTGTCGGTTGCCAGAGAGTGAGATTCTGTGAAACAATCGCACGCCACCGATACTACTTGTTCAGTCAGATCCTGAGACACAAAAACACTGCGTCTGTTGGGCTACCAGATTCTCACCAGTCTCACTTACCGAGCAAGCATTTCCCTGCGTCTGTTCTGATACCAGTACGAGACGGAGTCGAGCAGTCATCGCCGTTCACTTCGGAGTTTTCCGGCCAAAACAACTGCCTCCGCCAATGTCTTCCGTATCTACAGAGAGAATCCTGAATTCGTTCCCCATGTTCGGTAACACAGGGTGGAGTGCTCTTCAATACGCCGGGACATTCTACGACATCCGTAACCGCACAAGTACGACGTCAGACTCGTTCGAGAGCACATCAACATTCTCGATGTACGACGAAAATACCCCACCGACCACTGCAGACACGCAACCGGCTGCTTTCGACCTCTCACCGCCAATAGTTTCCAAATATGATGTTAAGACCCAGAAGAGGGGGAAAGGGACTTTTCTCAACCACACTCCAAGGAGTTACGAAATGAAAACGCCCAGGACAATGGATGCATATGGATCGCTAGGGCATTCCCGTGAAAAATACTCCTGTCATAGGATGTTTGGTTGCGCCGTGTCGGTTAATGAGAGTACTATATTTGCAAGTTCATGCGGGTACAGTTCTTCAGCAGAGTCGTGCCAGGGAGACTACAAGATTTCTATTCTTCCTGCGACTCCGGTGGAGCTTGATTCGAAAGAGATAGCGTCTCCGTCGTCAAGAGAGGGTCATCTATTATCAGTAAAGCCGATTCAACGTTCGAGTTCTCTTCCCGTGGCTAGAGCTCTAAAGTACGAGCCATGCGTAGCCTTGCCTTCTGGGTATACACGATATGAAGTCGGTGGTTGGAGTACGAAGCCGCAAACCAACCATTCTCCGGATAGAAAGTACTCAGGTCGCAGAGTATCGTTCAAAGTTACTGCGCCGGATTCGAGGAGTACTTCACGACATGCATCACTGGAGTCTCTGAGCACCAAAAACAGACGGAAGGCTAGCCGTGAAGTCCTTGGTGAAGTGCCACAGAGAGAGACTAAACATGTTGGGAATGTGGCTGTTTTTGGGGTGACGCAGGAGTATTTGGATAGCCAGGTGGGCGAACCGTTTTCAACCTCGGAGACATTCCATGCATACTCGTCTGATTCGCGAGAGATGCTTGTTCCTGAATTGCCTAAGCGATCAATTTCTGCACCGGTCAAGAAACAATACGCGAGATATGCTGCTGAAGAGTCGGATATGCGCGAGGCATTACCAGCACTGCTCTGTCGAGGTCCAAAGAGCGTCACACCTTCAGGCTTCCCGTTCCATATTGCTTCTTCTTTGCCAGTAGTTGGTGAAAACGGCAGTCTAGACCAAGGACAAGATGCGCTATCTAGGAACGTGCACATTTGGAATGATGTAAATAAAGCACGGGGCCCGAAGTACCTTGATGTAGGAAAATCAGGCCAGAAAGACCATCCTCCTGTAGGCCGACTGGCGCCACCGATCCTTAGCCATGAGGCACTCACCGCGAATGCCAATCTTGGCTTGAACGATCTCAGCTATTACCTCAAACATACCGGGCCATCGCCTACGGAGTCTAAGCACCCTAAACTCCGCCAACGAAAAAGGAGTATGAAATTCTTTAGAGCGAAGGAGCGGAAAAAACAGGCGCCAGCACATCGAGGTCCTTCTCCTCAGAGACTAGCCGAACAGACACCTATTAACCCCGCTTGGGTGCGCGAGATGAAAACGTCGGGGGGCGTGAGGCATCTGCGGATAGTGATACCAATGACGGAAAATGAATGCGATATGACAGTCGAACCCGTTCCAGCGCTACCAATCCAGGGTCAACAGCACACACGCCATGTCTCGTCCAACGGCTTCGAGGAAGATACGCTGTGTCCGCCTGAGAACTCTGCTGTACACCATATCCTGTATGGATCATCCGAAGCAGCAATGCGCTCCTTCTCTGAGCCGCACATGACTTATCAAGAACAAGCGCGACCCCGTAAACTGCGAGATTCACAGCACGAAAAACATAGACTAGCGCCTGATAGCTATTACAGCGGGAATATCAAAGGGAAATACCGTGGCAGTTTTGCTGAAGTGCCCGCATATACTACGGATGCGTTTCACGATGCTATAATGCATGCGTATGACGATGAGGGATTCGAGGAGGAGGATTCAATGCGTAGAACGGAAAGACTGGAGGAACGGGTTATGCTGCTACAGAGACAGAACATGCGGCTTATGGAGGCGCTGGCGAGGATTGTGGGAGTGGTGCTGGAACATGATGACTTGGATTGCGAGATGATGATGAGGGCGTCGTTGCGGGCATAGATGCCCCGCGAGTTATGATATGGCTAGAAGTGAAGTCGGGGATGCGAGAATGTAGGAACAATCTAACGCGATATCTTGAATACGGATCATGTTTCGTATCATGAAGGCAAAGACTCGTATCGGGGTTGAATTCCTCTAAATATAGAATTTCTTTTGTGGCTGGTTTTAGTGTTGTGTCCGAGGATAGAAATGATCCGTCGTCATTCGTCTTGTTCAGGGCAATGCCAAGCCTCACCGCCAATCCTATCGATAAGCCAACCACGTCCGTCATTTCCTCGCCCTGCTCTCCCATCTTCGCTACGGAAAAGACCCTGTACTCATCTGAGCTTGTAGAATCTTATTAACACTTCAATCGCGATTTGCTATACATAAATCTTTGCAATCCCTGAGGCAACGCATAGAAACAATCCTCGAAATCACCACCAATTCACACCGACATATACAACCACCACAATGTCTGCAGCAGGAGAAGGCCCGCTCTTTAGCACCGATCTGATATCCCCCGAAGTGCTCAAGGCACTACCAGAAGGCTACAACTGCCGACCCCTCGAGCGAAAGGACTACGCAAATGGGTTCCTAGATGTACTACGTGTACTCACTACTGTTGGCGACATAACTGAAGAAGTAAGTACCACTCATATTTTACATCACGCAGAAAAGAAAGGAAATGAGATTCCCCATTCTACTGAACATGACTAACATATAATCCAGCAATGGAACAAGCGCTATGACTGGATGTCTGCCCGCAACGACGAATACTTCCTCCTCTGCATCACCGACTCGTCCAACGCCATTGTCGGTACCGGCGCCCTTATTGTCGAGCGCAAATTTATCCACCAACTCGGTCTCGTCGGGCACATTGAGGACATTGCGGTTGCAAAGGACCAGCAGGGCAAGAAGCTCGGACTGAGAATCATCCAGGCGCTGGATTTCGTCGCAGAGAAGGTTGGGTGCTACAAGACTATTCTAGATTGCTCAGAGGCGAATGAGGGGTTCTATGTAAAGTGTGGGTTCAAGAGGGCCGGGCTCGAGATGGCGCATTACTATGGCAGGTGAAAAGTTTAAAAAAGCAACGCGTGATGGGACTTTGATAGGGCGCATCTTGGTGTCTGCGTCCATTTGACGAGTATAGGTTAGCATTAGACGGTATGCTGTGCATGGGCATGTATAGAGAGACATGATAGATTATGTTCGGTTCTGTCAAGCTTTCTGCGGTTTTTCTTTGCAGAAATGCAAGTCAAGAGGACAAAATACATGGGGCATACAGCATCGTTGAGATTTCTAGGAGCACCACTCGAGACAACGACTAGGACAAAGGTTGCTAAAATATGTTTGTTAGAAACATCTTACAATGCTGACTTTGGAGTTGTGTTATGTTGGACATGGTTTGGCTGCATCCATGCCAGAAAAACAGTGGAGGGGCTAATGTCCAATTTGATCGCTTCGACGCTTACTCACAAACACCATCTTTACAACAACAATCTTGCGCAACAATGGTTTGATTCACTCCCATGTTTGTATTAGCAAACTTTCTCTCTTTAAACAGATAGTTCGAAAACAATATCTTGACAGTTTATCCACAAGTCATATACGTTATAGGCAGAAGAAAAAACGTCACTGCAAACCAGAAAGAGATAGTACCGCAAGGAGTCATGGCGCAGGAAAAGTCCAAAGTCCCAGATCACAAGAGCGCAACGCAAGAGAACCAAGGACAAGAGACCCCGCCAATAACCCAATCAACAGCGACAGTGCCATGTGCATCTCCACCAGAGATCCCAGGCGACAAATTCACACCCTACAACACCACCTCGTGGCCCAAGATCCCCTCTGGACTCACTCCCGATCTCTGGACCCCCATACAATGCGCACCCGCCAACTTCGCACCCGACCACTTCCTATCCGTGTGCCATAATCTACTCGAAAACCCCAACCTCACCGCCTCGCATCTTTCGCGTGCAGAGCTCTCGTACACCAGCTTTACAGACGCAACATTCGACCCGCAAGCCAAAACGCCCGAGGATCTCGCTAGTATCATCAAGCACCTGCGCCCAGAATGCCGACCACGGTTGGTTCAAGGCGGACTGCCAGGATACACGCTTGACTACACAGTTGTGCGGAAACTGGTGCCACGGAATCCCAAGTTAGACGATGCACTTATGCAGACTTGTCATTTGTTTGTTTCAGAGGAGGAAATCACTGTTGCTGCTGCTGATGAAGAAAGAGAAGAGACATTCAAGGCAGAAAGATACGTGGTCATCTACATCCCGCACGTAGACGACACCGAAAGTGGTGCCGAAGCGATTCCATACTACCACCCCAAAGTCCGCGCTTTAGCAATCCTGTATACGTATTTTCCTACTGGGCTTGATACAGTATCTGGCCTGGATTCGCCGGGCTTGCTATCCGTCTACTACAATCTTTTCTCCCAGGTGCCACTGGACAATCGGCTCGAACGCACAGCACTCAAACTCGCAGAGATAATACACAAGCATGCACGCGGGCGACAGGCAGGCTACAAGAAACGCGTGCATCATGATCTGATAATCGGCCAAAAAAGGTTCCAGGATACGTATGCATATCTCAAGGGCAAATACGCAAAAGATCTCATCACCGCATGGATCGAGCAAACACCACCCGAGAAACACGTCTTTGAAGACCTAGGCATCGCCGCCTTTCTCGAAGAACTCTGGGTAGACATGTACGGCGGCGAAGCCAACCCCCAAGCACTCGACGGCGACGAATCCAAATCCCAAAGAAAAAAAATTGCACAATCAAACTTCCCCGGCTTCGTAGACATCGGCTGCGGCAACGGCCTCCTTGTCTCCATTTTAACCACCCAAGGCTGGTCCGGCTGGGGTTTCGATGCGCGCCGCAGAAAATCCTGGGATACATTCCCTACATCGCACGCTGAGAAACTAAAGGAGATGTTACTCGTACCAGCTATCATTCAGCCCTCCCCTTCTCTTTCACCCATCACCCCCGAAACCCCTTCGTCTACAACAACGACACCCCATCACAGCGGCATATTCCCTCCACAATCTTTCATAATCAGCAACCACGCCGACGAACTCACACCCTGGACCCCCCTCCTCGCATATTTGAACTCCTCGCCTTTCATCGCTATACCATGCTGCAGCCATGATCTAGGCGGCACGCGGTTCCGTGCGCCGGTGCATGCTAAACACCTTGTTGCAGATCCGGCGACTGAGAAGGCGAGGAAGAAGAATAAACAGCCGTCAGCATATGCAAGTTTGTGCTCGTGGGTATGCCATCTGGCGGAGAAGACGGGGTTCGAGGTTGAGAAGGAGTATTTGAGGATTCCTAGTACGAGGAATGTGGCAGTGGTAGGGAGGAAGCAGGTAGCAGACAAGGAGGGGCATGTGCAAGGCGAAGATTTAGGGATTAAGGAAAGACTAAGGTTCTTGAGGGAATTGGTTGAAAAGGAGATGGGTAGCTTGAGTGTGGAGCAGGTAGAGAATATGTGGATGAAGAGTGGGGATGGGCTGCTGAAGCCAGGAAAAGGCGGACATTGAAGAGACCGATTGCAAGGACTCTTCCCCAAAGTGATCATGAAATAACTTGTAATAAAAAAAACAATTGAAGAATCACCGAAGCGTATGGGGTATCATTGAGAACACGGTCATCTAAGACTGCGACATCGCAACTCAGACAAGCGATCCATTCGTAGTATCATCCGGTCATTTCGCCGTATCCGAACCCATTTTGTTATGCAGCAAAGCCCGACATGAATATGAAACGATATCTAGCCCTACTCCGAAAAGCCCTCTCAACTGCTTTAAGAAGCAGGAGCAGCACCACGGCCACGTCCGAATCCACCACGGAACTCGGGCTTGAACTCGCCGGGAGCACCGCCCTCAGCCTTCTCGCCCTGGTCACGGCGGCGGTACTCGCCACGGTCACCGCCACGGCCACCACGGCCTCCGCCACGGCGCTCACGGTCGTCACCGCCGAGCATGCCTCGGGGAGGAGCAGAGCGCTGCTGCTTGATGTGGGTCTGGGGAACAATCTCGGCGGGGAGGTGGAGCCATTCACGGAGGTAGTCGAGACCCTCGGGGGTGAGGGTGTAGTAGTAGTATTGCCATGAGAAGCGGGTCTTGAGGTAACCGCGAGAGGTCAAAGACTGGCCTGCTGATTGTTAGGAACCAACCCGGGGTTGCGGTGTAGCATGTTACTGACAAGCTTTCTGTCTGGAGTTAGCAAATCAATTACATTTCAGCATAGAGAATTGATACGCACGATGACGAAAAGGTTCTTGGTGTCAATCTCTCCGTGCTTGGGGAGGTTGAAGTCCTTCTTTGCGACCAGTACGCCCTCTGTGGTGACCGTGTGTCAGCCTATCCTTGTAGTGTGCAGCAAAGCCACCAAAGTGTATAATTGTGCCATAGCCATGGCTCGAATGCGCGGGGATACTAACCTCGGAAGAGGTACCTGTGAAATAATTGTTAGCCGTCTGATTCAATTGAATATATTGAATGGCCAAGGGAAGCTCAGGAAGCAAGTCGGAATATTTCATGCGAAACTCAGAGCTCGACTGCGCGAGTTCCCAGGACGGTTGTAGAGGTGGACTAACTCGTGGATCGCCTTGCGGTCGGCCTTGGGGATGAGCATCTTGACGGTTTGCGAAAAGACTCGGGGATGCTTGGACTGGTTGGTGAGGTCGATGAGTAGAAGTTCGCCGGACGTAGGCATTTCGACGGAAGGGTGCGCGACTAATCTAAGCGAGGCGCTATGACCACCTGTGCCAAGTCGCGCGTCTAGGTCTTTGGTACCGCCGCCTGCTTGAATACCAATCCAACCTTCACACCACATACACACGCACGCACGCACGCACGCAAACACCAGCATACAGCAATAACAACATTCGACCTGCATCTGGCTACTGGGAAGAACGAAAAATACGGATACACCCCACTCCGACTCGCAACCCCACACCCACGATAAACCGTCATCATGGAAGTCGCCACCGAGTCGCCCATCACGGTCATCGTCAACAGCATCCGCGGTCAAAACATCGCCTTTGCTACCGAGAAGAATGCGCCTCTCAGCTCCATCTATGAAACGCTTTACAAACGCGCACCATGGGTCCAGAACTCATCTTACATCCTCACCACAAACTCGCGCCGCTCAGTCTGCCATGACGAAGCCCCCGTCTCATCACTACTCTCTTCGCCAGCCGACACATTTCTGTCACTACGCCTGACTGTACCTCTATGTGGTGGAAAGGGTGGTTTTGGATCCATCTTGCGCGCTCAAGGTGGCCGCATGTCGTCGCGCAAGAAGAAGCAGGGTGACGTGAACGGATCCTCTCGCAATCTGGATGGACGGCGTCTGCGGACAGTCACCGAAGCCAAGGCACTTGCCGAATATCTAGCCATCAAGCCTGAGATGGAGCAGAGAGAAAAGGAGGAGCGTCGGAAGAAGTTGGAAGACATTGTCGCCAGCACCGAGCGCAAGCAGGAAGAGCTGCAACACAGCAGGGGCACAGCACGTTTAGATGGACAGTGGGTAGAGAACAAAGAGGAAGCCGAAAACAAGACCCGCGAGGCTATCGAGAAGATGCTCATGGCACAGAGAGAGAGCTCAGAAGAGGAAGAGGAAGCAGAGGTTCAGCCAGTCGCTTCGGCATCAAAGCCTGTTCAGCAACGGACCATGTTTGGTTGGGACGACGAGGATAATGAGTTTATGAGCGATAGCGAAGACGACGACGATGTCTCTGAAGAGGATGCGAAGCCTGTAATTGAGGGCAAAGGAAAAGCTAGGGCTGTCTAAGTTCTTTCCAGTTTGGCTGCATCATTTGACGCGACTCGACTTTTCAATGCATACAATGGCGTTTGGGAGTTGTGCTCTTTTTTTCTCTGTAGATACCCAATATTATAACATTCTCAGTTCATAACTTCAGACATCCGCTCTAGCTACCGCTCATAATCACTATATACACGATAAACAATGGCTCACTGGATTCGCTGTAAGTTTAGCTCTAGGTTGCTTTTTTGGTGGATTTCGGCTCTGCCAGGCCACATTGGTCATGTACAGGACCAATCATCTAGATATCAAGTATGTGTGCCAATGGTTATTGAATTGTCTCAAGGCATGACCGTTATCCCCACTAGATGCTCTGTATTGGGCCGACGGGCAACAAGTATCCCATAAAGCGGCATGATACCGGACTACTGTTATCGGCTGTCCGACCCGCCCTTCCCCACACCCAGGGCGCCTATCATGCCATCTCGTTCCTTTACACGCCGACTTCCATGAGCCGCGTCACAATGTCTTCCTTTACTCTCCATTCTCCCTCTTTCTTACTGCACAATGGCTTCCCTGGTTAACAGAGCCCCTGTTGCTCTTCGTAATGCGTGCAGACGCTACCCCGCTCTAAGCACACGACCAAGTGTAATAGCGAGAGTGGGGCACGAACATGCGAGGAGCTTTACCAATTCGCCAAGATGGCAGATCAGAACGAAGGAGATGAATGATGATATGATGAAGGAACTCAAAGTCAGCCAAGCAAGATTGATGGATGATATTCACCACAGCTGTCAATGGGGTATAGGCGAGCGGTGGGGAGAGTAAGTATTCAGGAACATCTGCGGCTCATAGCAAACTGACAGTTGCAGCAAGCCGACAGAAACTGGAATGAGTCGGCTCGCACTCTCCGATACTGACAAGGCTGCACGTGACTGGTTTGTCCAGACGACGAAAGAGTTGGGTTGTGAAGTCACCATCGATAATATGGGCAACACATTCGCAGTCCGGCCAGGACTGAGGAATGATAAGCCACCAACGTTTGTCGGAAGCCATCTCGATACTCAACCAACTGGTGGACGATATGACGGTATTCTCGGCGTCACTGCCGGCATTGAGATGTTGAGAGTGCTTGCAGAAAACTGGACTGAGACGGAGTATCCCGTTGGCGTAGTGAATTGGACGAATGAAGAAGGCGCTCGATTCCCAATGTCTATGGTTTCAAGTGGAGTGTGGGCAGGATCCATACCACTAGAGACTGCGCACAGCCTTCGTGAAGTACATCCAGGCACGGCAACCATGAAGTCTGAACTCGAACGTATCGGTTACCTGGGAGACATACCAGCTAGTTATGAAGCCACGCCTATGGCGGCGCACTTTGAGCTACATATCGAGCAGGGTCCACTGCTGGAGATGGCAAACAAAAAGATTGGTGTGGTCACCTCAGTTCAAGCGTACAAGTGGTTCACGATCAAAGTCAAGGGGCGAGATACGCACACTGGAACTACCGATCTCAAGTCACGGGCAGACGCTTTGTTGACGACGAGCAAAATGATACTGCACTCCCACCGTCTGGCCACTGCGAACAACGCACTAGCATCGACAGGCATATTGAACCTGAAGCCCGGCTCTACGAACACAGTCCCGGGAGAAGTCACTTTTAGCCTGGATATCCGTGCTCCAAAGGACGAAACGGTCGGGAAGATGAAAGAGATGATCTTTCGCGACTTTCCTAAGATTGCCGCAGGCGAAGATGTGGAAGGTTCGAATTATGGCTGTACATCTGGCCTACCGCTCACCGTGGAAATCGTGGAGGACTTTGACAGCCCAGCGACGAAATTCCACGCCGATTGCATCGCCTCTGTGCGCCAATCCGCGAACAAAATTGTCGGGCCTCATCTCTCAATGGAAATGACATCTGGTGCTGGACACGATAGCGTGTATGCGAGTAAGCGTTGTCCCACGAGCATGATCTTCGTACCATGCAGGGAAGGCGTGAGTCACAACCCCCGGGAATTTTGCAAGGAGGAAGACTGCGCTTTGGGTGCGCAAGTCTTATTACAGAGTGTCATCAGATTCGATCGCATGAGAGACGAGAGAAGAGTATCTTGGAAACAAGAGCCGTACACTCTATAATCTCCGATGCGACTTTCTGTAAAGGAAGAGGGGTTCAATGAGTACGAGCACTAGACTGTTATATATATCCATTGGTTGGTTAATTCCACTCATACGAACTGGAGATTCTTACTCTCTCAATACACAATTCAGTTGTATATTAGTACACAGTAAGCTCTACTTGTACTAAATACAGAGGGCCACCGTACGTCAAAGAGCTTGGCACCAACTCGACAGGGCGCTGCAACACATTACGGGTTCGTATCAGCCCTTCCAAGCTCTCATGAAGCCCCTTGCCAATCAGATCCATACCCCACCTATCTCTTCATATAACTTCGGCCCTTTTGCTTATGCAAACATTGTCATGGTTGCTTCTTGTACTAGCGCCCTGGCGTCAAGTAGTCACCACGGGCTGTGGTACTCCGCGGAGCACTCCCGAAACCTCGAGTGTTATCCGCGCAAATCCTCCAAAAAATGACAGTGCAGGTTTTCGAAACCAGTCAATTCTCACTGTGAACGGAACAGCGCAGGGATCTAGTCTGTGCGCAAGGATTAGACTCGACAGAAATAGGCTAATGAGCCTGCTAGAAGTGCTTGGCAAGCTTTACAGGACCACGTACTAACCCTCGGTACTTGTACTCCAACGTTTCTAAGCCTTCCCTGAAACCAGGGGATATCGTGGCTATGACAAAAAAGACAGTTGACAACACTGGGAAAAAGTAAGGCTTGCGGTTTCTTACCCAACGGCTGTCTGGGCCTGGTTCGCCAGGAGCCCTCAGGCTGAATACAGTTTGTCCTCTGCGCCATCATGCAACAGTGTCACGAACACAGATAGCTTTATTGGTGGCGGCGGACTGGTCCAATGTGGGACAACCATGTGCCTGCATACAGCAAGGCTGAGGCGCCCGTTCAGCTCGAGTACAGGGGTAGCCGAAAGGCAGACACAATACCTGTATGCGCTGCGGCCCCCCGCCTCACAATCATATACGATGCCTGGAAACTAGGTGTCGCATCGCTCATCACCAGTCGCAATGTTTCCGAAGTTTGGTGTCTTGTTTTTACTCCTAGCAGGACTGGCTCTTGCAAGAGAGATTCCACCCACATCACCTACAATAGCACCAGCGAGCACAATCACCCCCGCCCCACTTGCACACGAGGACGTTTTCAAAAGAGCAGTCGGAACATGCGGTTTTATTCGTGGTGACTCAGGTATTTACAGTCCCCCGTTATACCTGTGTCTGGCAGCCAGCAACTCACGCCCGAGACAGCATCGCCTGTGACTTGCGGAGCAGGATACAACTGCGTCACAACCCTCAGAGCTCAATACGCATTCGCATGTTGCAACAATGTAGAATGCATAGACGATTGGAGTGTTTGCCGTCCGTTTGGTCAAAAAGACTGCATGGGCAACAATCTTCCCGACGATACCTGCTCACGGATCTATGGATCGATACTCCAATGGTTAGTTTTACCTTTCTAGCACATCCTTTTGCAATCGCTAAAGACATCAACCAGTTCGGAAGCAGCGCCCTACTGCGTTACCTATATGCGTAGTTCTACTCTCAGCGATGAAATCACTTTTGTTTCGTTGACGTGCGGGACAACATCGGAAGACGTTCTTGTCCTTGCGACAGTAACGAATGGCGCAAAGCAGACTGCATCTGGCAAACCCGCCGCCGAACAAACCGAAAGTGCAGATCCCCTTGCCGGCTTCCCATCCATCCCGGGGTTGTCGTCGCCGACTGGAACAACGTCTACTCGCAACTCCCCTGCGCCTACCGGTTCAGGTTCAAACGGACCCGCACTGAGCACCAGGTCGATCGTTATAATCTCTGTGGTTGGCGCTGTGGTAATATTCTTGGGCGTGGGAATTGGAGTGTGTTGTTGGCGCAAAAAGGCAAAGGATTGGTGGCGCGAGAGAAGAAACCGCAATAAACATATCATTGATCCGGCCAGGATACCCCAAGCGCAATATCAACGCACCAATTATCAGCCCAGTAATTATCAGCCCACTGATCCGGGTTTGATAAATTCGTGGAGGAATGGGACGCCGCTTGGCGCGAGTCCTGACGTGGATCCGTCTGTGAATGGAAGTGTTTATGGTGGATACGGTGGAAGAGGCGCGAACGGGGCGGCACCAAGGCCGATGACGACGGTGCCTGAGCAGTAAGGTCGATCACTGCGTAACGGGACATGCTACATAGCGAGATACCTTTTCTGTCTAGATGTTGAGATTATTTGTAACGTATCTGTGAATACTAAAGCTTACTACGAATTCACTTTGTACTTTTCGTTCTGTTCCTATGTAAGCTTCTAACAAAATGAAGTATACTATAGCTTCTTATATTAGATTTTTCTATAAAAAGTATTATTGAACTTACTATAAGTACTACGTCAATCACATATGTTTTCACTCCATCTTAGTTCACCCCAAATCGATATCGTGAATCTGACACCCTCTTTGACAACACTAGCTGCTTTATATTGTAGCCATTTGCTAGCACCTTGACAGTAACACACAGATTATGTGCTGTAATCCGCTTCCGCTTCATCTAGCACCCTGAAATCATTACGGTACAAATTTCAAGTGGAAGGAGCATGAGTACAAGGTTGATAGTGGGATAAAGGACCAGCCGTTGTTGTGAAGCGCTTTCGCACAGGAAGACTGGGAATGAATATTGCAAGCTCATTTGTATTTTTTTTAAAAGAGTGGGTTTGGATACATGACTGAGGTGCTGAATTTGCTGATGCGACTACTAAGGAAGGTACCCTAGTAATTTAGCTCACAGCCAAGAGTCTGGCGATGTTTGGATCAACGCAATTTGCTTCATCTAAAAAAACACCTCAAAAACTACAACGAACACGCGGCCATACAGAAGTCGCAACATGACCAATATATGGGTGGCCCCGCCCCTCGATTGAACAGGAGAAGTTCCTTTCGCTCTATCACGAACTCATCCTCGCCTCCTCGCCATAATCTCGCAGCAACTTACGAAAGGCAGCGCTCAGCAGCAGCGACGCCATGACCACCCATATACCCAGGCCTGTGATCACATTCTTTGTATCCTGTTTCGATGCCCAACCTACAGCCAACGCGCTGAGTGCTCCGCATGCAACTATTCCGAGCTGATATCTGTCCCTTTTGTGGATGTGGTATAAGACGTTGATCGCAGTGCTGTAGACTAAGCAAGCGACTACAAGATGAACTGGACTGGGGTCCGGAATGATTGCTAGGAGACGATGCGGTTGCTATTCAAGTGCTATCCCAGTGCTTTCACGGCGGGGTTCAAGAGAGTGGCCTGATCGTTACGTTGAACAATACTAGACGACTGAATGGCCGCGTGGATTGTTTTAACGTGTGCGCATGTGTAGCGTTTTTCTTTTGTACAAGTCTTTTACATACTTTCATCCATCAAAACGAAAAGCCATAGTAGAAGTTGAATTACAATGATATTAAACAAACTACCTGAGCTAAAGCTGCGTCATTATTGACCTATTTATTAGCCGATTCTGCTTCCAGAAGCCAGCTACCCTGCGCTACAGCTCTAGGGACATCTAGGCACGCTAATTTATGCTAACAGTTGCTAGAGCTTCTTTCCCTACTGGATGGACCCTTGTAAGTAAATGGGTTTTAGTAATGAGATAATTATCCAACTAGTAAAACTATTGATAGTACAACAGCGCAACTCTAAAGACCGAAATAAAAAGGTATATCGTAACACCATTTGTCTTGCTACGCAGTGACCGACGTAAGTGAGGATTCCGTTAGATATTTTCGCTAGCGTTTGACCTTGTAATGAACTACCATGTAAGTTTCGACTTCCCTTCCTTGTCTCTTCGCAGTATGTAAGAATCCATAGAAGATAGGCAAAGATCATGTTGAAGAAAGTCTACAAAACATCTCCTACTACACCCAACCCGTCACACCTTGGCCAACCACATATCCCTCGTAGCCTTCAACCTCTTCGTCTGATCCGTCTTAAAGGCGATCGTCCAATGCTCCCTCTTCTTAATCAACCCCGGAAAGTCGCATTTAATCCCATCATCCCCACCCTTTGATAACCCGATCTCGTTTACGAAGTTCCACTGGCGGCAACAGAGTTGCCGGCACTGACACGGCACCCACTTGTCAAACCGCTTCAGTTTCTCGCGCTGATCCGCATCTACTTCTTTCCTCGATAGCTCGAGAATTGTCTCGATATGCAGCATATATAGCACTGCCATGACGAACGGCTTGTGGTGCGTAGACTCGCGCATGTTGCGCTTGTCGCGCAGGAGGCGCGACCAGGTTTCTGTGATGTGGCTGGGGGAGGGAGAGGGATTGGGTCCGAATTGATTAAGGAATGATTTCACTACGACAATAAATTAGCTTGAAATAAAGAAAAAAATAGAAGAATTTGGGACGGGGTGGGAGGAAAGGGGGGGGTATGTGCTACGTACGCGTTACTTTCCCATCAATGGGTTTGCAATCTTGAAATATGAGTTCATACACGTAGTATGAATTTAGGGTGAGATGCTGCCAGTACGACTGCGCCTCCGGATTTATATACTTTGGTCCTTTGTACAGCGAGTAGAACCGCTTTGTCTCTGAAGATTTTGAACGTGGCAGTGGCACGGCAGGCGGTGGGGGAATATCTATCATGGCATTTCGCGTCAGCAAATTTGAGCTATCTAACTCGTAGGGACTACTGCGGATGTTGAGACGGTTCTTTTTTTTCAAGAGAAATCATCAACGACAGCCAGGGTCAACACACTTTGCTCGTTTCCTGCGGCGGCCACCCAGCGGCGCAAGATGTTCTTTGTCTCAGGGTCGTTGCCGTAGGCTTCGGAGCGCGAGGCGATGATGTTTTTCTTGCTTGCTTCGTCGAGGAGGACTTCAGAGAGATCCGGGGGGTTGAGGCGGAAGTAGCCGTCTCGATCTGCGAGTTCTTGGTGCATTTCATAGAATTTGTTTGCTGTTTTTTGGGTTTCCGAGGCGATTCGTACAATGCTTTTTGCTACTTCGGTGACGCTCTTGCCAAAGTCTTGGAGTGCTGGTTTTCCTGTGCCGATTGAAACGAGTATGCGGATTTGGTCGTCGAATGGGATTTCAGGCTTGCCGAGTTTTTCTTTTGCCTCGAGATATATTTCTTCGATGGGGTTGTTGTGGCCGAGACCTGCGTCGACGAAGCAACGCGGTTCGCCAGCGTGATTGATCTTCATCGGTGCGAAGAACGATGTTGCTGCAGAAGTTGCCCGCGCGACTTCCCATATTCGGACTTCGTTATAAAAGTTGGAATGTTCGCCGTCCTTTTCATAGTCGGTGAAGCGTATTGGTATTGCGCTTTCTGCTGTGAGAGCAATCACGACGCTGCTATCAAGTTAGCGAATTACATAGGCATTGGTGATCAGTTTATTCTTACGTTTTGCAGACTGAGTTCTTTGCTCCTCGAAAGCGATCATCTGATGTTCCCCCAGCATTGGTGATAACCTGCTTGATGGCCTGCTCCAACTCTTCGGTCTTGTATCGCGGCTGGACTTTGCCGTTGCGTACTTTGAAAGGTAGTGTTTTTTTGTATTTTGGATCGAAAACAACGTCCATTAGGCGAATATATGCTTCAATACACTGATCAACTGTCATTTCCAACCGTCCTAGCATGATGGCAATTAAGCCTCCTGTACTCGTGCCGCAGATCATGTCGAAGTAGTCGCATGGTTTTGGACTCCCAACAAAGGACAATATCTTTCTCAGCATGTAAAGTGATGCCAAACCACGTACGCCTCCTCCGTCCAAACTGAGAAGCCGAAGACCGCCAGGCATCTTTGCTGGGCGGTCAAGTGTGCCAGTAGTAATACGGAGAAACAAGGGGTTAGCTTCACGGAAAACAATGATGGGTGTTTCGAAGAGACATCAAGAACCGTGTACGCAGCATCAACAAGACCATAAATCATTGATCTCTCGCCACCTTATCATAAAGCGCATCCTTCAGCACAGCCTAGGGTTCGAGGCTCAGCTTACGGCCAGTGGTGAAGAACAAGTTAGCTCTGGACGAGAATGGCGGGACTACTACCGAACTGGATTACAATGCCTGCTAGTTACACAGGGCAGTGCTGTGGCTTTTCTTGGCAGCTGAACAATCAAACATCGCACGTTGCAAAGGATTCAGCCTCGTGAAAGGTATGGAAAAACAAGTTTCTTTCCCGCTAAGTACCACAAAAGATTTCAACAGAGTAGCACATGGCGTCTCCGAGGAACTTGCTGCCTAGCACTCGAGTTTAGCCATCAGCCTTGCTCTAACGTTTTCCCCCAGCTCTTCCAGTGTCTCGCACATTTCAATGTTATACCTCTGGCAAACTATCTGCACATTTCCTCTCTTCCAGAACCCTTTCGGACAATAAACTACTGCCTTTCCAGTGTCGGCATAGAGTCCCAGTTCCAGCAATGTAATCGGCTGCAACACTTTGGGTTCGCCTGCAAAGTAGAAAACGATAATGTCCGCTATGCGCGCATGATCCATCTCCCACTCGACCTGCTCCTTGAAGGGTGGGAAAGAGATATCTTCGACCCAGCTGCTGTCCCAGGCATCGCAACGCGGGTTTAGGATAGCGACAGGAAGGTCAGATAGTGAAGCTGTGAGATATCCTTGCCAGTCTTTGGCTGGGTCAGATTGAATGGCGCCGTAGAGGATGACAGATGGTCTGTCTACATCTTTTCTTAGGGGAGGTTTGTGCACGACGGCTTTTGTTGGAGCAGGTTGTGACATGGTTTGGAGGTGTAGATAGATTTGGGGAGCGGCGCGGACGCGGGCCTTACCGTGCTACCCCGCCATGTCATTTTACCCTTAAAGTATTCGTGCAAGCACGGGCCTCGAGCTGATGAAATTGAAGCTGTACTGGGGCTCTATCTCCACCAGCATTCTCCCGCAAAACAAATATGTCGCATTAATGGTCTTTGACTCCATTCTACAACATAGAGCGAGTTGATGAATGGTTAGTGGGCTGGGTGAGTTCAATACCTCCTATCCAGTGCATCCAAGCCAGGCGGAATGTAGTTGTGATGTTACATGCAATTTGTACATATATACGGCCAGCGACTTCTTCACTATCAAATATCTCAATTTCTTGTTCAGTCCTTTGATTCGTTTCAGTAATTTGAATTACTAGGTGTTTCTTGAAAATGCTTTTCCAACAACGACAAGACACGGGAGGATTCCATATTCATTATGATTTTCCTACTTGCACCTGCATTAGTTCGTATCCAACCGCACACTGAAAATGAAACGGGGCATTCCACCCATAGCCGAATGACGATCCAACCGGACTTCTGATCTTTACCTAAAGGACAGTATCGGCGACCTGCCAGAGACCGCATCAGTCCACGTAGCGAGCCTGAACTACATCAGAAAAGCGTTAGTTGATCGACCATTGATCGACATTGCTAGAGCGCTGCTGTAAATTCCGCTTCGTATGCTGCACGTAAAACCAAACAAAGTAAAGCATCTTCACAAAAGGATGGAAATGACTCGAGCACATCGCGTGATGTTTCCAAATCATTTTGACAAATGGAGTCGTCTTCACCCATCGCTACGTATTGGTATCTGACCCTTTTGCTTTCCAGGATAACCGAAGTGCCATCGGAACGATCAGATTATGCGATCATTGTGTCATCATGTCTGGTGCATTCAAGATTCAAAGAAGCGGGGAAAATTCCGACCTTATCCAAGGCTATAAAATTTACCACTGTATCGGGGCTGCACAATGGCCCATGTCAGCAAGAACCCAACGTCGATTACCTGCCGACATTCTTGGCAGACGGGACAAAGTTTGTACGAATCTACAAGCTGGGGGGGGGGGTTGCCCTATTGTAGAAGTACCGGACGACGATCCTCCTTCAACGGGAGAGGGAAAAAGAAAAAAGGAAGTCGAGGCGACAACAGTCGCTTAGCACGAGTATCAGTGCGCAAGAACGAGTGAAATGCCTGAACCTCTGGTCCCTCCGGGTGAGCCGGGGTTACAGTTGTGTCATCGCGCTACGAAGCAGATCATATCTCGTACTTCGGTCAATCACCGGCGTGTTGCTACAAGCCCAATGGAATTTCCGAATTCAGCGTTACGATGGCCTCTCTGGGTGCAATGCTCGACATCACGCCATTCGCCCAATGGTGAGAGAAGGCCAGTCTTTACGTAGGAAAATTGGAAAAAGCATTGTAGCTGTGGTATTTTTATTTTGCGATCGTGAGAGCATCATAACGCGCGCGTAACTGAGTAGCAAATTGGTGTTGTACAAATCATAATATGAACTTCGTGCAAAATCGCCAACTCAAACCTCTGATACTCGGGCGCGACCACCTGTCCAAGCCTTGTTGTCGCGAGGATTGGGTGGATTCGGGACTGGGAGGCCTTCGTAAGTGACTTCGACAGTTCGCTCGTACAGTATGGCTTCTTCGCTGTCACTGTCCTTGCATTGGCGTGACCCGACCTGTATCTTTGATTCTCGCGTTTGCGTGGACTGTTGGGCCTTGACCCCGGAAAGGGGGATCTCGTCATCGCGTTTGTCGCCATCGATGGTGTTCATAAGAGTATCGTACTGGCGCTTCGGGCCACTCTTTGAGCTCTTCCACGAGTGTAACACGCGGTTTTGGCCGGATGAACCTTTTCCTGAAGATCCACGAGAGCTCTCGCCGATCATGTGCGGTGCAACGTGTCTGAAGAATCGTCGCAGGGTGGGTAGGGAACAGCAGATGATGAAGAGGTTCGCTTCGACGATGCTGGATATAGTGTTAGACAATGCAATGGACATGGCAGTTTCGTGTGATAACAACAGTGTACTTACATCCACACACAGCCCACAGCAATGATCCATGTTTGATCAGGATCCGTCAATGCTGGTATCAGGACAACCAAGCGGATGATTGAAGTGACCATAGTTCTTTGTAATGTCAGCTCGTTCTCGTACGTTCATTACCCTAGCACTGTGCTCACATTGATCCAATACCGAAGATAATGGTCAGGCCAATCTTCTGCTTCCTAGGCATTTGTAGGCGCCAGATGGTTGGGATTGGGATGGCGATTAGTATCACATCAGTGACAACACCAATGACAGCGGTTGCGATATAGATTCCTCCTCGGTTGGTGCAGACTGCTATCGGAAGTAACAGCGGATCCCAGCTGGCCGCTATCGGTTTGCATGCAAACACCAGACTGAAGAAGATGGATGTATATGCGCCAGCGCATATGAATACGGTTGACCAGACCGCAATTTGGTAGCCTCGCACTGGCGACAAACGACTGTAGAAGATGCACAATGTAATTTTGGTCAGGGCACAGCAAGGAGCGTATACCAGGGGGGCGGCCAGAATCAACTATGGTTTGGCAATGTCAGCAAAGTTTATATGTATGCTGACAGAACCAGGCAGCCCTCACGTACTCTTGAGTAATAGCCGTACTGATCGATTGAGATTTCCCAAGCATGTACACCGATAACTCCTGCAGCGAAGCCTTGAATCAACAAGGCTTGTGTTGCGACAGAAAACATCCACGCGAGAATAACAAGCACTGCTTATAGTTAGCATCTTCCCAAAGTCAAAGTGTATCTAGATAGGTACCATCATCAATCTGGAACTGCTTCATCAGACGAATCTTTGTGAAAAGTCGCTGGGCGAGGAAAATAAATGCCAAAATGTTCTCAACGATGAAGAGTGCATATGCTTCCGCAGTCAGCCGCCTTTGAGGGTTGGCAAAGTCGACCACATATCCCTTGGGAGGAGGGAGTATCGTCATGACTCCATTTACATTTGCCATGATGTAAAAAAGACTGAGAAATGGATAGTTTGATGAACACAGAGGTGTGAGCCCTTGAGGTGGAGAGCCAAGTCGTTTATCATATGGGAGATATGGGGGATGAGCGTGAACCAGTGGTCCTCTCAATTCAATCTCTATAGGGAAATGGCTATGCTCATCCTATTGGAGTGACTACTTGGAGGCTCGTGAGAGAAATTTGCACGGATCCCCGACACACGCGCGGAATAGAGTAGTGGGAACGTTGCATGATCCGTGGTAATCGCACCGAATACCTTGACGCTGACCACTCTTATTGACGAGGGCCGTTACGAAACCACGCGAGCTGCGAAGATGCGTAACATCAAGACTGCTTTGACCACCAGTCTAGTCTCGTCATCCTTACTATGGAGACTGAGACCCGCAAAATGGGTCATGAACTGTTGTGAGACAGAATCTTACCCCGAGCCGTGACATGGTCACCATCAGTGATGGAGGTAGGGGAGGGCAAGCAGTGGAACACATAATGACGGTATTTAATGCGCGCGATCTCCATAAATTCATTGCAGCCCAAGGATCGCGGGACGTTTTCATGTGTAGCTTCCCGAGCCCTGGTCTTAGTTCCCTTCCTCGCCTATAGATAAGGTTGACACTCGGGGACTAGGGTTTGGGGTGACATGAGTTCGTCCGGCAGACACGTGCGGTAGAGACATACGGTGGTTACTGACACAAGCCTACGTACCTTGGCGGGTCATGCCGGAGCTAGCCAGTCCCATCCAAACGGACCGTCATTCGGTCCGGTTTATGGGGACAGAGCGGGTCTCGATAGGAGCTAGCTCGACCCTCCACCCTCATCACCGGCAATCACTGACATTTTCATCAGAGGCCAATATTCTCCAGACCAACTTGCGGCTCTAGTTCGTTCAGGGGAGGCGCCAGAGCTGCCTCCCAACAGCCGCTGCAGGAAAAAATTATCGGCCACTAGACCTTCCGTAGCAGCGTAACATGAGTAGTTTGTGTCTAAGGATGCTGGATGTACAGTTCCTGTAATGGCTTGTCGTCGCTTGCCGTCATCCGCAGTGTAGTGTGCTCATCTTCCAGAGTCATTAATACACCTGCGTCGTCCTAAGCCAGCGTTGCGGTTCGACATCCTCGTCTTTCAACGCGCCAAGTCCCATCCGTTGTTACACCATGAAGTCCGTTACCCCGACATTGGTTGCCCTCATGGGCCTGTATGAGGAGGTTGGAGCTGCTGCTGCACGGCCCTTGGGGCTACGGAAAGATGTTTCAGCGACCATGGGCACCGATCCTTCGACTTGCGTGAGTTCAATCACCTTTCTACACTACTACCTTACCATCACAATGGGTCAAAGTCACAGTACCACTAACGCTATTCAACAGTGTGCAACCCTGAAAAATGCTAACCTGACTCACATCTACATGCAAGATGATCAGCAGTACAAGGACCGGACGAATTCCTACTGGTCTGTCAGTGCTCAGCTGCAACCAAAGTGCATCGTCCAGCCTGTCTCTACCGCGGAGGTGGCTACCGCCATCAAGGTCCTGGGTGCTGACCCAGGATGCACATTTGCTACTCGAAGCGGTGGTCACACCACCTGGGCCGGCTCCAACAATATCAACAATGGAGTAACGATTGACCTTGGTCTCATGAACCAGACCACCTATGACGAGGTCAACAGCCTTGCAAAGATCCAACCTGGCATCAGGTGGGGAGGCGTCTATGCAGCTCTTGAACTCCATGGAGTCACTGTTGCTGGTGGTCGTGCCAGCACTGTTGGTGTTGCTGGATTCCTGACTGGAGGAGGCAACACTTTCTTCACTGCTCAGCGCGGTTGGGGCTGTGACCAAGTCAAGAACTTTGAGGTTGTTCTTTCCAGCGGGTCGGTACACTTAACCCCTACATTTCATATTTGTGTTAACCCGACATAGTGAGGTTGTGAATGCAAATGCCACGTGCAACTCCGACCTATTCCTTGCTCTCAAGGGTGGATCTTCCAACTTTGGTATCGTCACTCGCTTCGACATGGAGACCTTCAAGCAGGGTGACCTCTGGGGTGGTACCATGTCGTATTCGAAGAACTATACTCAGGCGCACATTGACGCCTACACCGCCTGGGTTGACAATGTCGAAAACTACCCTGAGGGCTCCAGCATCATCTTCTGGAGCTACCTCCCCACTGCTAAAGATGTTGTTATCCTTGCTGCGTATGAAGATACGGCCGGCAATGTGGCCCCCGCAGGATTCGACAAGTTTTTGGCTATCCCATCCCAGTCCTCCACTATGAGGCTGGCTACCCACAAGAGCCTCACTGACGAGCTCGAGCAAGCCGCTGGGTACCGGTATGTTGAGAAACTAACTAATAGAAGGGTCTATACTGACTGCTTCAAGTGATATCTGGTTCACCATGAACTTCAAGAACGACCCCACAATCTTCAAGCACATTGTTGATGGTCACGAAAAATTTGTCAACGAGTGGAAGGCGACTACTTCTGACCCGGACTTCATCACGCAGTGCATGTTCCAGGCCATTCCTACTGTCTTTGCTAAGCACAGCGCTGAGCGAGGTGGTAACGTTCTCGGTATTGAGCACATTGGTACAAACACCATCATGCTCTTGTTCAATATTGCTGTCAAGGGTGCTGAAACTGAGGTTGCTGCTCGTGCGCTGCTGAGGAAATATACGGAAGAATTCCAGGCGTTTGCCGCTAGTCAGGGAGGCGCGGTTGACTGGCAATACCTCAACTACGCCGATTCTTACCAGGTACATAAAATCCCCTTTTCCGATATAATGACACGAAACATTCAACTAACATCCATGAACAGAACCCGCTTGCTGGCTTCGGCGCTCATAACGTTGCTAAGATCCGTGCGGCGGCAAAGAAGTACGATCCAGTCGGCATGTTCCAAACCCAGTCTCCTGGAGGCTTCAAGATTTCCAAGGTCAACGAAAAACCTCGTCGCGAGCTGTAAGCGACAAGAGGCTCAATTTGGATTGATATTTACAATCGTTATCTATACAAAATGAAACATACATAATTTTCTCGGAGAAAAAAATCCCATAGCCACACTCAATCTCGGTCCCAACAGCCACATGAATCGGAAGATGCACTAAAAGCCACTAAAAGCCACTATAGGTGCAGGGTTTGTAAATTGAAGTAGGGATCGCCAGGTCTTAAGAATCGGACTTGTACGACTGAAAATGCCCTATAATGATAACACCACACATCCTTGGCTGTCTCCCATGTCTAACAACGAAAGCAGCATCTTACGCGTCCCCCCCCCCCTCAACTTACACTAACCCAAGAGAAGCCCTCATCCCCGTTCACTGTTCCCGGAGGAGCAGAAAAGAAAACCAAAGAAGAATCTCACCCGTTCTCAAACATCGCCCAAAAATCGCAATTCTAGCCCCATAGAAAAAAATATCCGACCAACGCACGTACCCACCATCCCTCGCCCAAGTTTCCCCGCTCTACATAACTACACTACTACCCTTCATCCCCGCGCTCCCCTTGCAACACCTCGCCTGGACTTTCCCCGCCCTATCAAAGCGGAATCCCCTGCCACTTACTTGCTCGTACCTTCACGATGCCCATCTCCGCTTTTTGCACCAAGGGTTTGCTATCTAACTAGTTGCATCTGCGCCGTTGTTCCGCTCATGCTCTTTCTCTCAAAGCCCCATCCATGTAAAGCGCCACTCAACGGCTGGACCTTTCTCATCCCACGGAACCAGCCGCACACGCAACGACTTCTTTGAAACGATGTTCCGAGCGGAGTGTAGAAGGTGAGGTGCAGAGAGGTCGAAATGTACTAGCACGCAGCCGAACCCGCTCACTCCCTGCGCCACTGTTCTGTGTCGTCGCGGACAGCGGGATGTGGTGGATGGCCGTGCTGAGTGGGCTGCGGTGCAGGACGAGCGGACGCAGGGTGGAGTGGACATGATACTTTGGGTAGGCAGGATACCTTGTTAAGGTGAGCGTTTACAGTGTTGGCGCGTATACTGAGAGATTACATGTTGGAACAGGGGGCGTGGAATGGGGTGTTCACACGGGGAAGGGGTGTATTCGGGGGTTATGAGGAGGTAAGTAGGCTGTGCTATCGTCTTCTTTGTAGGAGGAAGGAGATGTCTCTTGGTGGGCCGAAAATACTACTGGGATAAACACAGCCGACATTTACAACAACGCTGCTACTTGCTAACAGCCGCCTCCACCACAAGGCAATTGAAAATTTGTTTTGCATGTGAAAGTACTATGAGAAAGAAATCGTATCGTTCTATACAGTGCTGGTATACAGTTCAATCTCACTGATCTCGCACTGTTTTGTTGTTGTAATTTTTATCCGAGTATTTCGGTCCACCAAAAAGTCAAGGGTACCGTGTCATTAGTGAGAAACTCTATAACGTTTATCTTACAAAGTAAGCGTAACTGGGACATACTTACATCAACCACATACGACAGAATATGTAGGAGTGATACTTGTCAAAATAAACAAGTAGTGGGTCTGTCAGTTCTGTATGATAGAAGGCGTCCGCTTACCGTAATAACCATTTGAAAGGCATTCTCACTTTCTTCTACCGAGAATATTTCGAATCAGTCTTTGTAGATTTGAACTAAGAAGGTATAAGGTATCCAAGAATTTTTTTTCGGTTTTCTTAGAATGTTTCGTGAACATATAGAGCAGAACTGGAGGCTGTAACAGTATAGCTTAGTCAGTCGTGTTGATTGATTCTTCAAGCCTGTTCTACATTATTGAGATATGATAGTAGCAATGCCTCAAAGAGGGATCAGGGGTCTTAGGTTATAAGCTTACGATGATTATCGCCGACGCAGCACACGCCCAGAGTCCGTAATGAATATATTGCCAGAGAATTTAATGCTACCAATGTGCTCTCCCATCTCTCTGTGACGTTGAAGCTTGCGTGATCTTCTGGTGAGTTGGAGGTTGAAGCGAAGCATAATGAGTTTGAGTGTTGTGGAAGACATTATTCGAATACATCTACAACATCTGAAACGCAAAGATCGAACTTCACTACAGAAGGCTCTGGGTCGTGGGCACTAGTAAAGTGTCTCGAATAGTTTCGTTTCTTAATTTATCTGTCCAAGGCACTGAACACATTTGCAGATGTCGCTTCTCAAACTGGAATCTTTTCAAATATTACGAACAATCAAAAACATACTTTCTTAGCAAACATTGACTTCGTCTAGTCTTCATGAACATATCGAACATCCCCTCCCCTAAAACACACCATTCGTTTCGGCGAGCGATAATTATGGAATTCAATCTAACATCATTGTATGTACTGTACAAAAGAAATGGCCGTTATGACTGTCGTCCGTCTTCTTGTCTACTTCTATCCTGTTCATCGCCACCCTCCTCTTTCCACTTACTACGTAGCCATTTCAGTTTGAACCAGTCGCTCAATGCATCTTGGCTTCTATTTTCCGAGCTATATGCCCAACTCCTTCTTGCTCGGGAAGCATCAGGTAAGTCTGCATCTGATAAATCGCCATCATCTGGGTCAGGATGATAGAGTAATGGCGAAGACGAACCAGGATCGGCGGGTCTTTTCCCTTGGGATACGCTTCTGGTCTGTCGGGTAAGGCCTTCAAACCAAGATCTTCGGCGCATCTGGTTGAGCCAAGCAGATTGCGCCTTATTTCGTCGTGGAGGCAACGTGCCTGATCTTGGCCTATGATCAAGATCCACAGATCGGATTGCAGGTGAGGGCAAAGTCTCGCGGTCGTTGAGCTCATCCCATATTTCGTGCGTTTCCTCGGAAATAGTCAAGCGTCGTCTTCGTGAAGGCTTGTGAGGACGTGTATTGGCCTGAGCTGCATGCAGGGCTGTAGTATCCAGTGACAATCGCTTCTTGGGGTTGGACAAGGGCCTAGCAGGACCAGCCGGTGCTCGGGCTAGTAGTGGTGTTGTTTCGTCGATAGATTTACGTTTGGTGTGCGTGGAGAAGTAGCCTCGGTCTCCTCCAGCTTCCTCGTCGGTGAGCATTGGTGATGCCGGGTCGTCGAGAATATGGGTATGCGATATACCGATACCAGGTTGAAGCACCGTCTTGGGCATGGGAATCCTACCCACCTTGGCCGCTATTGGCGACCTTGGTTCTTCCTCATTGTCCTCGAGACGCCAGCTCAAGCAGACAACGCCTGCAAGAAGGACCACGGTACCGAGTGCGATGAGTCCAGCGTGAAGACTCGACAGTCGGTCGCTCTGGTCAAAGTATATCAATCCGTCTACAATGGCAATAATGTTATAGACACAAAAGACCAAAGGATAGAGGACACTAGTACTACACAACTTGAGTCCGCAGTGCATGTAATAGAGTTGCGTCAGGGCGAATGCAACTAATCCAATCAGGATCATCCAAGACTGCCAACGATTGAACTCATTGTGGCGATCCACGATTGTGCGGACCAACAGCTCAACGGCGCTCTTGGCGACAAGTAGCGAATGCGCAGAGAGGATGCCACTGACGCATCCAAAGGCCATTCCTCGTATCAGGCGTAGTCTAGGAGTGGTGCGGGGATAAATGCGCTTGAGGACCCAGGTGGCGGTAACCAAGATCACCACAGCAACACCCGTCATGCTCATCCAAATTAGAAAGTTGGTTCGTCCTAGTAAAACCAATAACTGGTCCAGGTTATGCGACGGCTCGGCAATGGCACCGAAGAGGGCTATCAGCAATGCGCCGACAGCGACGAGTAGAGTGCCGGCGAGCGAGTAGCGCGTAAAGGGCTCGCTCAAAATAATGGAGGCGCATATGGAGTTGAAGACGAGGCCGGAAGCCTGGAGAGTGGAGAGGACGGGAAGGGGGAGGGTGGTGATTTGGATGGTGCTGCCGACAATGTTTGCCACGAGGAACATGAGCATGCCCAGCTATCCGGGGTTAGCGAAGTGGTTGTGTATGTGTGCGGTGAGTATGCGTGCCTGCCATCTCCGTCGCCTGTAGGGTGGGCGTCTTTCGTCATCGTCGTCCTTTTCTTCCTCGAGGAGATGCGACTTGCGCTGGAGTGTAAGGCCGACACTCTGGATGCTGGTCGAGGCGAGGCCGACGATTACTCCCAGCTACGGAGGGGTTAGTTAGCAGGTCTAAATTTCTGGCGCCAGACTCACAGCAACGCTCGCGCCTGGCGACATTCCGACCATGACTGTGTCTGTTGGCTGCTGTCGGTGACTGCACCTGTGTTACCTGGGGGTGTGGCGCATGCTGTGCGAGCGGCGGACGAGGAATGGGGGACGAAGAACAACAAGAGAGTGGGAGAGCGCAGCTGGCGATGGCAGCGTAGACGTGGACGTGGTCGCGAAACGTGACGCTGTCGAGTCGGTGAAGTTGGGGGGTGGAGGGCTAGCCGGTGGGTGTGGCAGGGGTCAGCCGACTGATGATGTATGTAGAGAAGTGGGTTAGGAAGCTGGCGCGACGAGGCGTGTGTGTGCACCGAACGACAGCTGGGCAAAGAAACAGGCGCAGAAAGTGACAAATAAGAAATGCGTGCTGGCGCGACATGGGAATGGTTCGAACGCGCGATGGCGTCGCAGTCAGTGGGGGACGCGCTGTGGCTACGCATGTGGCTGCTGTGGCTGGTATTATGGCTAGTGCAGCCAGTGTGGCTAGTGGGTGCGGGCAGCATCTGGGGCTGCTATCGCCAATTGGTGGGCCCAGCGCATGCACCTCGAGCAGCTTGTCCAAGCTCCGTCACTGCCCATACCGCCCGACGATTCCAACTCCATCGCCAGATCCCACGCCCACATACCCCTCCACCACCACCGACGAACCCCCACCGCCGTCGCCATCATGTCGCAAGTTCACGCCCTCTCCGACGACCAGGTATGATGCCCGCCGCAGCTCCAGGCAGCTCCAGAGCTCCCCACCTACGTCAACAGCGCTCCATGCTAACAAGTCTCCCATGGCAGGTCGCCGGCGAGCTCAAGAAGATGACGGCCTTTATCCGTCAGGAGGCCATGGAAAAGGCAAATGAGATCCGTCTCAAGGCCGACGAGGAGTTCGCCATTGAAAAGTCCAAGCTGGTGCGCCAGGAGCAGGCCTCCATCGACGCCTCGTACGAGAAGAAGTTCAAGCAGGCCAGCATGTCGCAGCAAATCACCCGCTCCACTGTCTCCAACAAGAGTCGATTACGCATCCTGTCCGCCCGCCAAGAGCTGCTCAACCGCCTGTTCGAGGACGCCGAGAAGAAGCTGGCGGATATTTCCAAGGACAAGAACAAGTACCAGTCCATCCTGAAGAACCTCATTCTCGAGGGCGCATATGCCCTGAATGAGGACAAGCTACAGGTCAAGGTGCGCAAGGCAGACAACGATCTGACCAAGAAGGCCATCGAAGAGGCTCAGACCGAGTTCAAGAAGAATATGAGCAAGGACGTTGCCATTACCATTGACGAGAGCGACCCGCTGCCCGAGGGATCGTAAGTTAATACGTTCGATTCATCCGGGTTTATGACTAATTTTGTCCAAACAGCGCTGGCGGTGCCATTATTGTCGGCACAAACGGCAAGATCGACATCAACAACACCTTCCAAGAACGACTGAAGCTGCTCGAATCCCAGGCACTTCCATCCATCAGGGTCACGCTCTTTGGCGAGAACGAGAACAGGAAGTTCCACGACTAAGTTCCTTTTTGCACGGCGACCCCGGGGATTTTAATCATCATGACCATGGCATTTCCTCACCCACATAATGTCGGAATACAGGGAACATGTGCGTTTGTACCATGCACTTGGCACACAAGTGACTTTTTTGCCGAGTAAACTCTACACATGTGGAGAAAGAGAGGAAGAGGTGTTCTGTACATTACTCCAAGCAAGATATAGCGAGTCAACTTTGCACATTTACCGTATATGCGGTAGTTCGGAGCATCATCTCTGGACATTGCTTACTATTTATTTGATTATTGTTACAAACAATCGAAGTAGGTCGTTAAATCGTATACATGCAGAAAAGAAAAGGGGTATATGTACGTCCATCATCAAGTCGCATAAGTACTTGCCGTCACCCGAAAATACTGCACCAAAACCTCAGTCGCGAAAATGCCTGGCAGTATCAATTCCTCAACGGCCAATCCGTCGTCTCACCATTCCATCCCCTCTCCACTCTCCTCCCATGTCTCAACCCCACATTCTCCTCTTCATCCTGCTTTTGTTCATAGTATCCGCCATACCCCCCACCCGTATAATAATACTCCGGCCCGTAATCCTCCAAATACGCATCCAACGACATCGAAGAAAAGCTCGACACCGCGAGGCCAGACGAACTACTTCCCGTCCCACTATACTGCGCCGCTGTGTGCGGAACCGCCTGTGTAGGTCGGTAAACCGATGTATCCCTCGCATCATTCACTGGCACCTCTTCCGTGCTACTGGGACTGGGAACCGGTTTCCGCGGTATACTGCTCCTCCTCCCCACCTCTCTATTCCCACCACCAAAACTCCGTTTCCGATGCGCATACTGCCCCAACACGGGCGACTCCACGTCGAACTCCCCAGGCTCCCTCATCTCAGCCACAGAATGCAAACTCGACCCGCTAACCCTCCTTCCCCTTGCTCGATTCGAAGAGTGACTGTGACACAGGGCCGGCGCCACCATCGGGGTATGTGTATCTTCCCTCCCAACCATTGCGGGAGTTTCAGGGTAGGCATCATATATGTCTGACGGGTCGTCCCAGGGGTATTCTTCAGTGCCCCGCGTGTAGTGATGGGTTAGTGGTAAGGTGGCGCTGTCTGAGGGTCCTTGTTGGAAGGAGAAGCGCGGGATGAAGCCGGGGGAGGAGGGAGGTTGGCTTCCTTCGAGGGTTCTTTTGCGGTGGCGGCGGAGGAGGAAGAAAGAGAGGAGGAGGATAGAGATGGAGAGGAAGCCTAGAGGGAGGGCGAGGCCGAGGGCGAGTTTTTGGCGGGAGGTAAGGCCGGAAGGGGTGGGGGGTGGAGCGGGGGGTTCGGAGGGTGTGCTGATTGGGGTTGCGGAGGAGGGAGGCGGAGTCGAGATTGTGGGTGTCGATGAGGCGGAGAAAGATGAGCTGGCGGTAGGAGAAATCGAAGTCGATGAGAATGACTGCTTAGACGAAAACGAGGATGGTCGAGTTGTAGTCTGGCTCAACACTGCAGTTGTACTTCCCCCACTCTCACTCTCCAGCTTAGATGATGTAGACACTGTCGCAGTCGTACTCGTCACCCACCCATCCGTCTGTGTAACCACACTCTGCTCCGTCCTGGTCACAGAAGCCGGTACACTAGTCGGCACACTCCCACTTTCCGGTGGCGCTGCCGTTACAGGCCCAAACACCTGGATGAGATACCTCTGCACCTCAACTGGCAACTCGCGAAACCACTGCGGTCGATTATTATCCAGGAACTCGGTCCAGAGTATGCTTGATACAGCGGGCACGTTTGTAGCAGCGACTTGGCGAAGTGACTGGGGGAGGGCGGTAATGAGGATGTTGACGAAGTCGATACTACTCGTCATGTTAGCAAACCATTCCCATTAGAATATGGAAACATTAACGTGTGCGTTTGAGAAAAGGATAGAGGAAAGTTCTTACGCATCAATATCCTGTCTCCCTTGCAATCGTGGTGCAGCCGTGATATCAGGCGGCGCTGGCACCACAGCTCCATTTACGACTCCGTTTCCAACAACAAGGAGAAGAGGATAGAACCATCTTCGTAGCGAGTGCATGTATGAGATGTAGCGAGTGTCGTATCGCACACGAAAAGAGAAAAAGAAAAGAGAAAAGAGATTCCCGACTAATACTTCATAACCAATGTTTTGTTCAACTCAACCCTGTGTAAAGCATATACGCTTCAAATCATTCAAGTCGAGCGAAAAAAAGATCAGAAAGAATGTTGCGTAACCCAGCAACTATTTCAGAACCCCTCCCATCTCTCCTCACATCCATCTTTCTTTTTTTAGGCCTAACAAGCCCCCCAGCCCCCCAGGCACACACTGATGCGATTCGTCCCAACACTCCAAGGCTGTGGCGAACATGGCTTCATACTCACGTAAACTTGCTTAACACAGCCCCAAACTTGATCGCCCCCGCCACAACGCCACCCGTCCGCCATCCTCTCCACATAAAATATACTCTACCTGCAGATTTCGGCAGCAAAATCTTGTCTAACTATCTGATGGACACGTAACTGGTTGAATATCACTGCTATACCGAAATATCCCTGATATTATATGTACCTGGTGGGACGAAAGGTATTCATAGTGGGACGGGGGTGGCAATTGGTCAGAGCTAAGCCCGATTTAGTAATTGAGCTGGGGATTGATACCTGGTGTACATAGCCACCTTAGCTAGCCATTAAAGCTTCACATTAGTAGTATGTCGCTCTCTAAGGCTAATATTATAAGCTAGTAGTGACGCGCTTAAGGGGGTTTGGATAGAAGGCTGCATTCCTAGTACAAGCGCTATTGGAATTAACAACGTGCTTTACTGAGGAAATGTACTTACTTAATATAAGGAAAACTTGTAGGAAAGTTAAGAGCGTTACCTACAATGAAAGCTGTACATGGACCTAGTGGTAAGTCATTATCACGCCTTCCTACGTTGCGCAAGTTTAAAAACAGATACATTGGAGGTGCTTATACAATGGCTCTAAATGAGATAACAGGTAGATTCATTCTCGGTTAGCTCAACGCGCACCAGGGTTGGCATTGCCTGTTGTTCACTTAGAAAAGAATATTCGTAATGTCTTCCTTCTTGAGTTTTCGAGCTGCACGGATTTTTTCTTGCTTTTCTTTGCTCCACGTCTTTGATTGGTACTTACGGCTCCTCTCCCTCCTCTTTTCCCGTTTTTCCATCGCTCGAACCTCTAGATCCACCCAACGGGGAATTGGGCAGGTTGGAATTTGCTGTAAAATAGCGAGCGTGTCGCGATCTCCTCCTGCCTGATCCCGCTGTTGGCTAGAAGAAGTAAAGCTCTCAACGTGAAATTTGCGTCCTTCCCGGCACAGTGAAACCTATTGAAGGAACATTCGAGCAAAAGCAGCAAATCGCTAAGAGAACCAGCCCAGAACCCAAAGACCTTGTATGCCACCTGGAAAGTGTCTAGAACAGCCTAGAGAAGTACTGGAGTCTGGAAATCTAGAGCTCGTAAAACCCCGAGGTCTCTGATGATTCCATGACCTACAAACACGATATTTCGCGCTGGAGGGATAAAGGACTGAATGCGGTCTACTATATCTGATGGATGAATCGTGATTGTCTCCCCAAAGATGAACTTTTCAGAAGCCTTTCTCAAGTACGAGGGAGATCCTGTGGCAAAGTTGTAGGTCGATATAAGCTTGGCTGGCGAGACTTTGTTAATTTCCTTCGTATCGAGAATGGCGAGGCCAACTTGGCAATCATTCTTCTGGGCAAATCCACGCTTAATTGTGTTGATGCCCTCGAAGTCAATGGCGATGAGGACTACATCCGATAGTCTAAGCGACCTGGAAGAAGAGCATTCTAGACGAAGGATCTCGTGCAGGATATGTAGTACATTTTTTGTAATTCTTAGTTCTATAGGAGGCATGGCCTCATTTTCTGTTTTATTTATCAGCGTAAGACTTATGTGCCCGACATGTTAGTCTAGATGGCAACCACTTCCTAAGTTTCTTAATGCACCTTACCCGCCGGAAATCGTCGTTAATGAGGCGCCGGGCGAAGTCACTAAGGTGCTTGAGGATTCGGTCTGGCTATGTGCACTATTTCTGCAAACGTATTTTGCGCTACCAATTGTAATAAGGTGGCGAAAGAGCTCTACGCTAACTAAAAGGGTTCTTAGCTCTACTAGAGTTATTTTTTTTAGATCCGCGATCTAGGTGGTAATGTTTAGAGATATAGAGACTGTGGTTGGCTTGATTGTTCTTATTCTAGGGATTTATGGGTCGAAATAATGCTGACTGGCTAGGTAAATACGTTTACAGACATGATGTAACGCATAGAGGTCTCCAGCGCTTTTAGGACTTGCCGCTGGCACTGTAGGCTGTTGAGGCGTTGGTGGCGGCTTAGTCGATATCGCTGATGATTCGCATACCAGGGCAGCGATTTGATGTAACGAAGGATTTAGTTTATACATAAAATTCCTAGCTTTCTTCATATACAAACGAGTGACTAGACTTAAAGATAACAAATCAACCCCTCTACCACTCCGAGTGACGAAATGAGCGACGACGAGTTAGACATGATAGTGCTAACACCATTTTGTTGTAACCATTCCGCTGAGACCAGACTCGCAAAACACCCGTATTCAGCGCAGAGAAGCTTTCGCGGATGAATTTCGGTCGATGCCCCTTGCCCCTAATTCTGTGGCTGTCCAACTAACAGTAGACCTGGTAGGAATACCTGAAAGAAACATCCCAGCATCGATCAATGATACCCAAGTTTGCAGCATCACCGTCGCAGTTGTTTCCAGTAAAAACTCGAACTATTTCAATGTTTGTTAGCACATTCCCCTTCGATTTTTCAACAGAGAATATATAATCACGAACTTTCGCATCCGGGTTGCTTCCACCACAGTCTGAGACCTTTGCCTGGGAGACTCCTGCACACTCCATCGGAAACGAGGTTGTCGGTTTGTCCGCCGTTGCATCCTGTAGTACTGAAGGTAGCGAAGGAGACTGCTTGCTCATATTTCCCGGCAACGGCGGGGGCAGCGTGGGCGGCGAGAAGGCCAGTAATAGAAAGAACAGACGTGCTTAGCTTCATGATGCCGGTGTTGGTTGACTGGGGTTCTGCAGTAGATACAGCTTGGTGGAGTGATAGATGCTGTAGCGGTAGATGATGGTCTGTCAGTTCAGATGAAGATGGAGAGAAGCTTTATATTCGCTGGGTTTTCAGCTCAAACGTATTGAGTCTGCTAACAATTTTATTTCTTACTACCATATTCCTATTTTGTGGGACTTGTCTTCTACAATACAGGCAAAGTGCTGATATGCTGTGTCTCCTGAGGATTTAGCTACACATCGGAGATGTGTGCAACATGACACTTAGATTGTAACTAACATACTTTGAGCTAGTCTGGAGATCAAAATCGGTTTATACGAGAGATGAGTGTTAGCACCTACCGCAAAGGCCTTTTGCTCGAGCAGTGGTCTGACGTTACTTTCACGGGATCTACACCTGTGGTTGCAATCCGAGAATCCTCTGGTGCTAGTTAATAACTCTACCCAGTTATTACCTTGAATGTCCCACTACTGTATTATGCTATATCCATGCAGCACCACGTGAATCGCAGTTAATTAACCGAAAGCATCGTTACAGTACTCTTATCGCGCTTCAGCCCATCCAAAGACTACGAGCAAGGACCTTGGCATTACAAATATTTCAGTAGTACTGAGGTGTAACTCCAAATTTGAAATACATGGCGTGATGTACCGTTACATGCAACGTTGATAGCGCTGCATGTTGAGAGCAACGAGCTGAACGGGCCGATGCATGCTTATCCTACCAAAACAACTAACTAGCCTCCTACTTTAACAGGTAATAACTCCACTAGCATAACTCGATGTTACAAGTAACAAGAGGGAAATCTCTCCTTGTTGTGCGTCGCATGGTAGGAGAGTATTGGGCGCACATGTCAGAAGATAATAATTACCACGGAGCAGTTCCCACATAACTTAGCCTCCTACTAAGAGAGAGACGCTAATAGCCTCTCTCAGCAATCTAAGGTCTGTCAAGATCGACAACATCTGTCCTTACGTAGCGGGACAGACGTTACGGCAACACCCGAAGCTAAACACAACTGCCGTTGCAAGCTTAGCCTGCACGCTCTTTCAGCCGCCATCTATACCGCCTGTTGCACGGTACCCATCCCGCAGCTGTCAGTTGTCAGTTGTCAGCTCTCAGCTCTCAGCCCACAGCTGAGCCCACCGCCCAGCTTTGTTGCTAGCCCCCAGAAAAGTTTCGTCTCTCATCAACCATGGCCACTTGCGATGCATCCGCTGTTCACAGAGCCTGGAACGCTTCTATCGCCAACAACCATCTCGCTGTAGAACACCGTTGTAATAGAGAGCGTTGCGACCCGGCACGGCGCCACCCCGTTCTGTTTCCCGCCTCGCAACTTGGCTAATTTACCCAATGTTCACTCAATATCTAACTAGTTATCTTTTCTTAGTAGTATACCGAATATCCCCGGTGGTATATAGGTAGTTGCACGTGAGGAATGCGGTTGGGAAATCAGGTTTCCGAGTCGTCGAAGTGGGGCGCGAACAACGATGTGTGTGGCGGTGCTAGAAAGGAGCAGGAGCGGCGAGGTCGGCTGGGAAGCGAAGGGGAAGAGAATAGTAGGTGTACATAAGATGGTATGACGTTTTTTGGGGGATTGTGGGGGTCGCATGCTATGAATAGATGGGATGGGGGAGGAGATTGTGATTGGGTGGGGTATTTTAGAGTGGTAAGAAACGCGTGAGTGTGAGATCTGTGTGTAGTACATCAGCGGTATAGAGTAATCTACAGTATAATGCTTCGACTGGTCGATTATAGGTTTAGTCTACTGCGCAAAAGAAACAGCACGTAATCGTGTACGATACCATAATACTAGTATTTTCTGATATATACTACACTGCCCTAACCCCCACACACTCATATCCATACTCATACAATCCATATCGCATCAATCACCCCATCTCCCTTTGCCCCTCTACCCAGATTTGTCCCAAGGAGAAAAAAAAGGCTCTATACCCTCACCCTAGCAGCACTCTCGTTCCGCTCAATCGCCATACCGAATCCAAAATCCTTCCTCCGCTTATTCCCCTTGCGGTCACCATACTGCTCGTCAAACTTCTTAATCGCATTCAAACTGCTCATGTCCTCGCTGATACTGGCGCTGATTTCCTGCAGCGCTTTGTCAAAGTGGCGAGCATGCAGTGTACGTTTTTCAGGGAAAACATAGTCTTGACCGCGGACGAGATGTGGGGGCTTAGATGACGACAATGAAGTGGCTGCAGAGTCAGTCTTGCTGGATTCAGATTCTGTGTTGTTGTCACTTTCTTGTAGAGCGGCTTTTGCGGCGGCCAGGGCAGCTTGTTCGTTTTCTTCCTTGACACAGGCAAGAGCTGCTGAGACGGCAATGTTCTTGAGGTCGCTTCCACTATAGAAAGGCGTGCGCTTTGCAATGTCGTCTAGATCGACAGACTCATCTAATTGCTCGCCCCTGAGATGGATGCGCAGGATTTCTTTGCGGTCGGCCTGCGTAGGCAGATCGACGAGTAGGCGGCGAGGTAGGCGACGAATGACGGCGTCATCCAGGTCAAAAGGCCGGTTTGTAGCTACCATGACGAACACTGAGAGATCGTTGAGGCCATCCCATTCTTTCAGAAATTGATTGAGAACATCGCGGTGGGACGCCCGCTCACGCATTGCGTCTCTTGATGCGAATACAGCGTCTGCTTCGTCGAGGAACACAATGCATGGCGACAGTTTGCGCGCCAGCGAGAAGATGGCGGCAACGTTCTTCTCGCCCTCGCCAACGTACTTGTCCATGATCTGACTTCCAGACACTTCAAGTACCGAGCTGCCACTCTCCTTTGCCACGGCTTTGGCAAGAAGTGTTTTGCCGGTACCTGGAGGTCCGTACAGCAGCGCACCCGAAATCTTCTCAGTCGCTAGGATACCATAGCTGAATGCTTCAGGCCGGAGCAACGACAAAGAAGTGATTGTGCGTATCGAGTCTACAGTCTCTGTTGGTACGTGAACCTGCTCGAATGTCGTCTTGATTTGATCGGGGTCTGCGATGCCAGGCATAAGTCGCTTCTCGTGCTTATTGGCAGTAGCCGCTATTTTTTGCAAATTTTGTTGACGCTGCATAGCCCTTTCATCCACACGTTTCCGTGCAGGGTCAGGCTCAATCTTTGCTTCCATATTGTTCAGCGTATTCTTGGGTCGCTTTGACATCTCGGCCACTTTCTCGAAAAAGGTATACTTGGCCATGTCGCTAGATTTCAGCAAGCCTATGGCCAGGGCTACATGCGCCCAGCTCAACTGGCTTGGTACATTCCCAGAATTCTGTGCCGGACTCGAAACTAGCAAACCTAGAGCTGTCAGGGCTACTCGGTGCACTTCATCGTAAGTCAGCACCCGATTAAAGTGCGATTCCAAGAATATTGGCGCCCAGTTGCGGAAGCTCGACATGCTTTGGTCCATGTCAGAGATGCCAGCAGCGGCAGATGGATCCAAAGACCGAAGCATATCTCGAATGTGATACAGGTTGATGTTTCGGAATTTACTCTTTTCGTATGGCGAAATATCTGCCAAGGACGCCATACTGGCTCCGAGAGATGCAATGGCCTCGTCGAAATTTGGCGTGACACTACTGGATTCTGCGGCCATGACAATGGTTCTGAAGAAACTACTTTCGCCCTCATTCTGAAGACCACGGACACCGCTGTGGTCTGTTAGCTTCATCACCAAGATGTAAAAATCAATTTCCTCACCTGGCGTTCAGTTCGGGCGTGAGGTCGCGTGAACAAGTACTTCCTACAATCATGATGCTCTCGCCGGCAATCCGTCGCTTGCGAACAATTTCCTCAAGTCGCTGAATAATACGACCGCCATAGTGAGTAGCGTTCAGCTCCTTAAAGTCCTTTACAAATATAATTTTTGGCTTTGCTGGAACACTGGGCTTCTCTGAGGCCTGACCAATCTTGACTGTTAAGTTGATATCTGGTCTGGCACCAGCTGGCAATGTCGAGTTCAGATCAAGCTCGGCGCTTCCCTGGCCCAAGGAATAATCAAAGAAGGCCGGGCTCTTGGACGATTTTTGTTGTTGATCAGCAGGGCGGACACGGTAAAGAGCCTCATTGCCGGTGATACCTCGACTTTGTTTGATGTGGTTCGCATCAACCAAAGCTTCCAAAAGAGCGGCCAGCTTGAGATCCTCCAATTGCATCTCAGCGTGATTTTGATTACGTCCAGAATCTTCGTTTGAAGCAGCAGTAGATGGTCCAAATGGATTTCCCGAACCGAGTTGCAGGCCTTGTAAATTCTGAGTCATGGCACGCAAAGCTGGTGTAAGGGCAATGATGGAGAGCGGTATAGCACGAGGACGCATCGCGCTCGGATCCGACTGTTCAACAGATGAGGCTTGTGACCACTCTGCTTCGTCTTCGGCACCGGCTTCCTGCACGTCTGCCACGAAGCCGTTCATGTCGGCACTCAGCCGATAAGTTTCATAACCCAACGCCCTGATTGAATGTGGAGATGGCTCCGCTCCTTCGCCCAAGTAGTCGGCGGCAAGCTGGGCAAGATCTTGAGCATTCAACAAGACGACGTCAGCGCCCGTTTCAACAGCCCAAGACAAGACACATGCATCGATGGATGCCTCATGCTCAGGTGCAGGTGAATGAAGGATTAGATTTGTCTTGGCAGCAGGGAAAGAGTCGCTGGCGGCTGGCTGTAATGTAGAGAGAGATGCAGCCATGGTGGCACGAATTTCGGCAACTACTAAGGAGGATAAATGTTTGGAAGTTCCCGTCTGCCTGGTCCTGGCGACCTCTCGTTTCCTCGCAGCTATCTCAAGTTTGGCACTTTGTTTTCTCATGGCTTCAATCTTCTTGCGAGGGTCCATGTCAGGGTCGTTTTGCAGCTTGTTCAGCTTTGACCAGGCTTCGGTGAAAGCGCCATCTTCTGTGATTGCGGTAGCAGGTACGTCGCCGGGGCGTCCAGCTTCTGCGCTCGCTACTGCCTCATCATTCTTTGACTGTGACGCTGGATTTTCTACCTGATCCCTCGGTGCCAATATCTCCTCGAGGTACTTGTCGACCCTGTGCTTCTCGTTGTCGTCCAATCGCCGACTCCACAGGCCACGTACCAATCGCGAGAGGATCCGGGCTGGGTCTAATTCGGGCTGAGCAGGCAGTACGCATGCAGCCTGCTCTCCGGATTCAGCGTGTGTGACTGAGACAGAAAGAACTGCAAGCGGTTGTGGGTCTCCAGGTAGGTCCTCCCGCCGTATTACCCTCCTCCTTAGGAACCAGTCTGGTATGTGTACGGGCGGTAGCCCCTGAGCCTTTTTGCCTCGCTGTTGGCGTCGCAGGGCAGCAGAGTACCTGCGCGATGTTTCTCGTGACCGCTGAAGTTTTTGTGCTAGTATGTCGGGATCTTCTACGGCTACCGCGCCGTCTGCTGGGTCTTCGGTGGCGGTTGATGCCTTGTCTCGGTCCGCTGAATCAACGCCATGCTGATCTGTGGGTGTGCCATTGGGAGCTGGTGGGGGATTTGCTGCTTGCGCGAGGGGGCGCGCAGTGTGAAAAGGCCGTAGCCGTGGTATGGATGGGTAGCGTCGACCGCGGATAAAGCGCGCTGGAGGTCTTTTCGTGGACGCTCGCAGTGCTGACCGAATCACGTACATTCGGACGTCGAAGGCACTCCCAGATATGAAGAGAGAGGAGGCCACAAGAATTGATGGCCTTTGAGCGAGGGTTGAGCACTGGGCTGGGTATGATGGCAATTTCGTCAACTTTCTTCATTGTCTGAACAAGGGTCCAAGCCAAGACATGCGGCTGCACCCGCCCTGCGGTACCGCTGCACCCTAGTCACGATATATACTATAATTGCAGAAACTTGAAACCGACTACTCGGTTTGTAACATAGATGTCCGCGGAGAGTGAATATTTGTTGGTGGCTGCAGTGCTGGAATTCGTGTCAAAACGTGCTGTGCAGATGACGTAACCCGCCAGTGTACATAGCATGGAAACTCGGACTGGAATAAGTAAAAGATAGATTGCAGGTGCAAAAGGTATGGTGCGCGCGAATCATGTCAAAAGGCTTTTACAGAGACTGCATTGATCGGAGCAACCTGAGGCAGATATATGGCGAAACATGTGATTACATTATGCAAACAGGACGCATGTAGAGGGGAAATCATGGTAAGTAGAATGCCGGGTTGAAGCAGTGGTATGGCTTAGCATTCGAAGTAAGATGAGCGATTGCTGTCACCGTGTCGGACCCACTGGTGGGCTTGTGAGCTGGGCGTTGTATATGTGTGTATGTACATGTGAATGCACTGCTGTGCTGACAGAGACGAGGTATAAATTCTGACGGCCGCTTATCGAGCCCCCATGCCCAGGGCCTAGACACAAATACGAAGACATGGAGATTGGCCAGCTAACGCATCGGTGGAGATGCAAAGAAGGGGGGCCTCTCGGAGATATTGTGGAGAGGGAGCTGAGATGACTTGTCGGTCTGAAGAGATGGCTCACGATGCGTGCTTTTCTCTTCGCCAGCCATCCTTGCTTGCCATTTCATGCTCGTGGTGTTTACTACATCATGCTATTGTTTACTGTGGTCATCTCCGCGCATGCACGGGGCACGCATGTAGCGCCAGCAGATGTCGCAATCGAATACAGTGCCAGTATCATTGGTGCGCAGCGTGGATCCTGGATAGGAGCGTGTTTGTATTTTGTTCTGCCACGTCGTGCGCTGTGGTGCATGGACTCTTAGTAGGCGCATGCCCGCAGCGAGGCCTATCGCCAAATGGCACCGAGGGCAGACGCGTGTGGGGTGGCTGTGGTGTGCTTAGAGGGTCGCCAGGTGTGCTATCGTCGAGCGTGTCTTGCACATCGGTACACAGAGTTTATAGAGGCCCACAGAGAGCAGAAGATAGGCCAGCCCCGCGAATATCAGAGTGGCTGAAACGGAGCGCATGCGGTTGTGTGATGGTCAAGGTCCAAGGTTCGAGGGGCAGGGCCCACATCGTCGGGGGTACTAAGCGAGCGTCTCTGATTGGGCACCGCCCCTCCGCCTGTTCCTGCTGTTCCTGATTGCGGTCCGTGCACCATGGTGATCGTCAATTCCTTCTGCGTGTTGACCGCCCAGACGAGTTGGCTGTTGAGTCCAATTCACTTGTCCAGGCGCTGGCCTGCCTACTTTACCATCTCAAACTGCCCTGCAGGCATCTCCATCGCCGTCCTCGACAATATCTATATCCTTCGCGCACTCCCCCACTCACGTCATCTCTAGGTGCGCGGTAGCTTCGCGATAGCTTCGGGTCAACCCTTTCTTAGTTAGCTGCGTACCATTGATTCCCTTACCAACCACGCGACGGGCCCTTCACCCACCTCCTCCAAGCAGGCGCACCCAGTGCCATGACGCCTTTTTGACATGTCTGCTAGCCATCCCACACCTCATCCACCATCGACCTGGAGGCCGCGATGTCGCTTACGCCCTCCAATTCCCGGATGAGCCCAGCGGTTGGGTCTGGCATCAAGCTGACTGCTTCTCCCTCTCCCTTCTACAAAGCCACCCCGCGCGCCTCGCCCGTCAAGCAAGCGCGCGCAGAAGTCAACCTTTCGCTGCGCCAGGTCATCGGAACCACGACCAATTCGCCCAATGCCTTTGACAGTCTGCCCTCAGGTTCCACTTTTGGCTATGCTGCCGGCGCTGCAGCTGTCATTGCTGCAATTGATGATCGCGGTCATGTCACCCAGCGTTTCTATCGCGCACGGCCTGCTACCAATCCCATCAATCCCTCAGCATCAATTTATGGCGGCCCATCAACACCCACCCAGAATGAGAGCCGCAACCGCACAGCCGTCTCTCTGCGCGACGCCAGTTTTGGCGCTTCGTCAGCCTCGTCACCCAGCAGTCAGGACTGGGCAGACTCTCCCAATAATAAAGCTTGGACCACAAGGGACAAGATAAAGGCAGCAACCTGCGTCAGCTTCAGCCCCGACGGCAAATATTTTGCTGTAGGAGAGGCAAGTCACATGCTTACACCTGATTTTATTATATTCTAACTTAGTTCAGACGGGTTACAAACCTCGCGTCCTCATTTTCTCCGCCTCCCCAGATATCCCCTGCGATACCCCTCTCTCATCACTTACAGACCACACCTTTGGCGTAAACTGCGTAGCATTCAGCCCCGATTCCCGCTTCCTTGCAAGTCTAGGCTCAGCCAACGATGGCTTCCTCTACATCTGGCACATCAACTCGCGCTCCGGAGCTGCCACGCTCCATGCTAGCAACAAGTGTGTCAGTCGAATCAACCGGATGGCCTGGATGGGAAACAAGCTGATTACCGTTGGCGTCCGCCATGTCAAAGTCTGGAAGATTGATGATATCAATACCACGCTGCGCATCACCAGAGGCCGCCAGAGCGATGCTTCATTTCTTTCTAGTTCCATGCACAAAACATTGCCGGGGAGAAATTGCATTCTTGACAGCCTCAAAGAATCCACATTTACCAGTGTCGTTGCCATCGCCCGAAACAAGGCTATTGTAGCTTCCGACAAGGGTGATATTTGTCTGATTGACGATTCAGAATCAGACCAACGCTTCCGCAAGCTGGCAGATGCTGGATTCGCCGTAAGCTCACTAGCGGCAGACGTCAAAGGTCGACTCCACGTTGTCGGTAGCCAAGGAACACTGAAGACCTTCAACATCAGTGAGATTACAGGAATAAGGACTCCTCCACCATCTCCTCCGCCGCGGGTCCAGTCCCCTACCGTCCCAGTTACTGATTGCGAACAAATTGGCGTCATTGCTTGCTTGAAAGACTACGTTGTCACTGTTGATTCCCAACGAGCCATTCGGCTGTCGCAGTTGTGTTCTGACGATGACGATGCGGTTGTTGGTAAGGTGGTTCGCACGTTGCCAGCACATGGCAAAGCGGTACTTGGTGTGCACGCAGGGCTCGCTCAACCCAACGTTTTCGATGCTTCCTACTATACATGGGCTGCCGACGGGACAGTCATCTTCTGGAGTCAGGGCGCGTGTAAAGACTCTCTCCAAGTCTACCTTGAACAGCTAGACGACCCTGAGGCGGTTCCCAATGAGTTGAGGACTGTACGCGTCACTGCCGACGGTGCACATCTGATAGCAGGAGACAAATTCGGCGTATTGAGATTCATCAACTGTGAAACGAAGACTTGCATGCTGGAATTCAAAGCACATGCAAGCGAAATCACCAGTATCGCCATACACGAAGAAGAGCAAGAGATATTTATCGCTTCGGCCAGTCGAGACCGGACCGTACAAGTCTTTGCGCGAACTGAAGAGACTTGGGAGCTGTTGCAAACACTGGACGAGCATGTCGGATCAGTGAATGGAGTTACATTTTCACGCGATGGCACACGCCTGGTGTCGTCTTCAAGCGATCGAAGTCTGGTGGTTCGCGAACGATTGTCGCTCGAAGATGCTAATGGAACCAATCGCGCCTTCGTGATGTCACGGGCCATTATTGTAAAAACCACACCCGTGTCTACGGCATGGGATGTCGATCTGGACGATACCCTTCTGGTTTCGACCATCGATCGTCAGGTGCACAAATTCGACATCCGCACAGGTCAATGCCTCAGCAACTTCCGTGCGTGTGATACAGATGGAGGAGATGCCGTTGTTTTGTCGTCCTTAGTCCACATATCTCGCGGCTGGGGTGCTCCATTGATCGCTGGTGTATCGAGCACAGACAAGTCGATACGTGTGTATGATGACAACGGTTTGCTAGTTGCTCGTGACTGGGGCCATACCGAGGGTGTTTCTAATATTGCGCTCGTGAATACGCCTCAGAGTTTAGCAGATGAGTCAAGCGAAAAGTCGCTAGTTACTGTCGCAGTAGACGGGACTATATTTGTGTGGGATCTTGGCATCCAGACACCAAGTCGCCCCGATCCTCCAAAGGCTCCTGACCTACTTGCTCCAAACACGCCATCAAAAGAAGATCTGTTATCCAACAGGCCGCCTCTACGGCGCGTACTGTCGCAGTCGGAATTGGCGCGTTATCAGCGCTCAAATCAGGAGGGAGACTCGACACCGAGTGGAAGCAGGTCACCGAAACTGAGAAAGAAGCTCTCAAAAATCTCCTTGGGTTCGACTCCCAAGCTAGATCCTTCTCCTATACCAAGCAGCGCGCGGGACGGGCAAATAACCTGTCAAGAGAAGGGCACAGGGCGGCGGAACAAGAATCGTTCGCCGTCCCCTCCAAGCCCCAGGAACACACAACGACCCAAGCGCCGCGGATCAACAGACGCTAGGAACCGTAACAAAGCACCTGCCCGCGAATTCGGGACTATTGATGGATCGACAGAGAGCTTGTGCAGAACACTCCGGGCCTATAGGAAGCGCCTTGCAAACTCCACCGATACCATGAGCCCTGAGCTCGCGAAGGAGGTTGAGAGAGAGCTTGCTGTGACTGCAAGAGCAATTGGTGACCGGGTCAAAACCAAGGCTTTTGAAGAAACGGTTATGATCAAGCTGCTAGACCAGTACTCTGAGCGGCTGGTCAACATGTTGGATGAAAAAATTGCAGCCAGTGTGGCTCAACGCGTGCGTGAAAGCAGCGTGGGCAATTTTTCAGACGGACCCGATTCCCCTCGCGTTACTCATCGTCCTTCTGCAAGTAGAACTGACAGTGAGGATATGAGGAGCTTTCGTGAAGAATTTGATTCTGGCGCCGAGGCCCAGGATAACAGGAAGAAGTAGGTAGTGTAAGATAGGTGGTTTTGCCCTAACGGCCGGATATACAAGCCGCACATGATGAACAGTGCGGCAGATGCGGCGTTGAGAGTTGTTTTGTAAGTACATCAAGTAGGCGTTCTTTTCTTTTTGGGATAGTGAATGATGCTCTTTCCACCGTTTTGAGCACACACATCCTTTAGGCGTTGGAAAGTGGGGAGACATGGCCCGGGTTTGGCCATTTGTATTACTGTTTATTTTTTTTCCTTGAATCTCTTTTTGTCTACAGCACCACTACGCATGACATAATCGTAGTTCTTAGTTTTAGGGTTTTTCCTTTTCCTCTCCTTTGTTCATAGTATACATATCTCATTCGCTTGATAATCCACATATTTCTAGTGTACCCGGGGACCTTATCATTATGTTATTCTTTCTATATTTACAACTTCGCAACCTCTTGCAGAATCCTCAGGTCTTCTCTGCTCAAATCCGCCAAACTCTTCTTACCCAGATTCGCAAGCGAATTGTCAGTATCAGCCAGTAGACAATCCAGCACATGCTTCACACCCTCTTCACCCCCCATAGCCAGTCCATAAGCATACGGACGGCCCACAAGCACCGCCTTCGCACCCAGCGCCAGCGCCTTGAGTACATCCGACCCGGTCCTAATCCCCGAATCAAAAAGAACCGTCAATTCACTTCCCTTCACCTTCTCATCCGCTGCAATCTCCGCCAGCGCATCCAACGACCCAACTGCGCCGTCAAGCTGGCGCCCCCCATGATTCGACACCACAATACCATCTATCCCGTATTCAATCGCCCGATGCGCATCCTCCACCGTTTGAATCCCCTTCAGCACAATCGGACCGTTCCACAGTGACTTGAGCGTCTCCAGCTGACTCCAATCCCTATAGGTGCCCGACGCCACCAGGTTCGTAAAGAAAAGCGCCTTCTTCATCACCGACGCATGCGCCAGCACCTTCGCCGCACCCCCTATACTCCCCGGCCGCTTAAGAATCTGCCATATCTCCGCGACTTTTTCCGCCGCCGACCGCGTATCGCGCGCTTGTTCTTCAGCGAAGAGCTGGTTGAAAACGGGGTCTGAGAAGGCGACTTGGCAGCCCTGGCCCCAGACAAAGGGCAAGTACGAGGCGTCGAGGTCGTTGGGGCGCCAGCCGATGACGAAGGTATCGAGGGTTACGACGAGGACTTTATATCCATTTCCCCATGCGCGCGACAGAAGGGATGCGGTGAAAGCTTCGGCAGCGGGCTTGGGCCAGTAGAGTTGGAACCACCGGTCTCCCTGTGAGCCGTTTGCGGCGGCGACTTGCTCGATGCTGCGGGTAGCGGCAGTGGAGAGAATCATAGGGATTTTGGCGGCGGCGCAGGCGCGCGCCGTGGCTTCTTCGCCGTCTTGATGCAAGATTTCTTGCACGCCGATGGGTGCGGCGAGGAGGGGGCTCGGGTATGTGGTGCCGAAGAGGGAGACGCTCATGTCGCGCCGGGTGACGGGGACGAGCATCTTGGGGAGGAGGCGGTAGCGCGAGAAGGCGGAGAGGTTGGAGCGGTAGGTATCTTCGCTACCGGCTGAGCCGGCGACGTAGAGGAAGTTGGGTAGGGGAATTGCGGCGCGGGCACTGGCTTCCCATTGTGAGGGTTTGGTGGAGTACTTGGGTGGGTGGAGGGAGGAGTAGATGTCGCGTTGGTAGGATGAATAGGACGTTGGGTCTGGTTCGTAGTCTGTTGTTTCTGCAGTTTTGGAAAGCACTTTTGTGTCGGTCATTGTGGGGGAAAGTATTAGTTTTGTTGAATTATTTTGGGTGTTGTACGAATGCGACTGTTTGCATGGTTTGTTGCAACAGTCGAGATGGGATGCGTGGAAATGCGGAGGACGCGATCGACACGGAGGTGTGGGGGGCCAATCGAGCGCGAGGGTTGACATGCCGAGGCTCCCCACTACCCGCGTTTGGGCCAGTCAATATTTGTACTACGTTGTTGTTCTCTTACTCGTCTTGTGAAGTGGGAAATAGGTGTTTAGGATGGATCAGAGATGGAAAGACCACCGCGGTTTACCTGCCCATAGTGGACATGCAAATGTGTTTGTAAATAAGACAAGTGTTAGGGAGCAGACACCACGACCCACCCCAGGGCAAGAAAGAACTGGTTGTTCGAAAGGCTCCTCACCGCCCAGAACGCAGTTCCCAAACGACTAGCGATGCAGTAAAAACATCAATTCTTCATGATACACTTCGATTTTCATCCACGTTATTCATATTGTTGCTGAGGCCACAATGGCACCGTCTACATTTTGGGCCTTTACGGCAGCCGTCGTTATAGCTATCCTATCAGCAAGATACAGCGTCTATCATATCTCGTTGCTGTCGGCATTTGGTCCTTCGCTTTATGCTCACATTGGTTGCCCAACGGTGACTGCACATCCTGGCTATCTGGGCTATGGGGACGCTGAGAAACCTTATCATTCGAGTTGGGACGCTTGGTGGCATCCACAGCGCAGCCATGGCAGAGGCGACAAGAGCAAGGATAGTGCAGGGGTACTGACAGAGGACTGGAATATCTTGTATCATCTTGGTGGTAATGGGCCATGGGTTGAGAAGGTTATTGATGTTGTCGAGGGGGGTGTCGCAACGCCTGAGGGATGCGAGGTGTTGCAGGTTCACATGGTATGTTTCTGCTTACTATTTTTGTTGGATTGCTGGCCATGAAACACTCTGATTCTGCTATTTTCATAGCATATATTGACGGAAAGCAATTGCTGACGTCATTTGTGAAGATGGCCCGGCATGCTGAGCGGTATCCTACGAAGAGAGCTGGTAGTGGTGAGCGAGCATTTAGGCTATGGCTTTGATATATGCTTACCATCTTTACAGCCCAGAAAGCTGTCGTTAAGCGTATGAAAGAATCGGGCAAGGTTTTTACCGGCAACTTGTCGTTTTTCAACGAATGGGAACTTTTCTGGTCTTCAGGTATGTCCTGGTTTCACCTAGAGTCTGATTTCGCACTTACTAAATGGAAATAGATGAACAAGATCTGGAGCAACTCACATCCACTGGTCCCTTTGCCGGAACACTCGGTTCCTTTACTACAGGAGTTCGCCTTCGCACTCGCTACCGACATTTAATTGACCAAGCTGCATCCATTCATCCAGATCATCCTACTACCTTTTGGGCCAGCGGCTCCAACCGTGTCATTGAAACAGCTAAGCACTTCGCTGCGGGTTTCTTCGGGCTAGAATACGCCAACACAAACACAGCAAACCTCTCAGTCATACCAGAGCACTCCTCACTCGGTGCAGATACGCTAACACCCGGACGGACCTGTATCGCCAACAAGAAAGACAAAGAGCACGGTCAGCCAAAAGGATATCGTCTTATGCGCAAATACCGCTCTACTTACATGCCTCCTATTAGCAAACGCCTTCTCGAACAAACAGGCATGGAGTTTAATGACGAAGAGATTTACGCCATGCAGGAAATGTGTGGGTTTGAAACCACAGTTCGTGGACGGAGTGATTGGTGCAATGTCTTTACTCAAGAAGAGTTTCTCAGTTTCGAGTATGCGAGAGACATCCTACACTACTACCGTGCTGGCCCAGGACAAAAGTATGCAAAGAGCATGGGGTGGCTGTGGGTGAACGCAACGACGAACCTGCTGGTGCAAGGCCCAGAAGAGGCAGGCCCATTGTTCTTCAGTTTGTGAGTTTATTGATTTACTATAACCGCCATGACTTATTGCATGGAAACTTGAACTAACATGATGCCAAACATAGTGTTCACGATGGCGATATCGCACCGATGATTTCCGCGCTCGATGTTATAAATGACGAACAACACCTTCCCATTACACACATTCCCCACGACCGCAAGTGGCGCAAGTCCCAAGTCTCACCCATGGGCGGCCGCATCGTCTTCGAACTACTCTCATGTAGAACAGGCAGTGGCGACGATAGCCCTCGAGAGAAATTTGTCAGACTCAATATCAACGACGGTATCACAGCCTTACCGGATTGTCACAGCGGACCAGGCAAGAGTTGTCCTTTGCATGAATTCGCCGAGAGGACGAAGAGGAAGGGCGAGGAAGTGCAAGGGTTCAAAGACTTGTGTGGATTAAGTGATGATGCAGCCAAGAGGATAACGTTTTTGAGTCAGAAAGGGGTTAGTGAGTAGAAATAGTAGTGATAGACGAAAGCACGGCTTTTCCTTGTGCATGTCAAGGTCTTGAATGGAAGAAATAATTTTAAAGTACCTAGTGTGTGGCGGTACAATTATGCCGTGGGAAACTATCTTGACCGAGATCAGATGAGATGAACAATTGTCTTAGAAAAGGAGATGTTCTAATCACCGAAGTTTGCCCTTTGCAAGTAGTGAAATTAAGCTACCTTCCTGGCTCGCTACTTCTCATATTCCAAACTAGAGAAAGGTTCCAAACGTTAATTACCCGATCTGGGGCTGTAGATGAAGACAGGAGAGTTGAGTTAGGCATCTTGGAATATATCGTGCAGCATTTGCTACAGATCTAGTACGTACTGAATGAACGACTTTATTACACAAGGGTTATGCATGTAAGTAACTATTTGGACAAGTGGGGCCGTCCAGCTTCTTAATACGAACTTGCATGCGTTAAAGTAAAATAATATTCACTTACATGAAGCGAGTGATACTACTGGAGGCCATCTGTTAATACAAGCAGGTCTTATGGGCAGGGAGGTGAGTGGGGTTGTTAGAGCTATTTGTGTACAGTCGTGAGTAGAATCGATTTCCAGGTTTTTGCACTTTTACAAATTACTACTTACTTGATCTCACAGCACAGGTCTCCTAGATAACAAGGAGATTTCTTACTTCGAATTAGCGCCTTGCAGGTACATTCTCGTAATTTGCAAACATTTTCATCACGTCATATGGCTTTGATGGTGAAACCGATGCCGCGAATCAGCCTGGTACTCTTGGTAGGCAGACTACTTAGGTGATGTGTCAAGCAATTTGCGTGCTACGCCAGCGGGCTGTGCTACGTACACAATGCCAAGTGCCCCACCCAGCTGAACAACCTTACGTACTTATCAGGCTAGCGATAACATCCCAACATCTCTATCCACACTCAAAGCACTCGGAAAAACGCAGTAATGAGCTTTGGGTTTAGCGTTGGCGACTTTCTGGCGGTGATTAGACTGGTCAACAAGATCAGGAAAGACTTCGTTGGCGCTCCAAGCCAGTTTAGGGACATATCTAATGTGTATGTGACCTCCATAGATGAAACGGCTATACTGATACATTTGACATATAGGCTCCGGAGCCTTTCTATTGTTCTCAACGATGCTGAAGTAACGGTATCCGAACACGAACTTAATCCTTAAGAAGAAGCAGATTTCCGAAATGTTCTTGATGGTTGTCAATGTACTCTTCGCAAGCTGGAACACACAATAGACAAGTATATCGTGCTGGACTCATAGCAAACGAGCATCGGTGGTAAGCTGAAAAGAGCATGGAAGCGACTATCTATGGAGCCAGAGGACATTCGCGATCTTCGGAGTGATATCAACATCAATATTGATCTACTCACCGCACTAACCGGGCGGCTTACTCGGGACAACACCTTCAAATTAGTGCGGTACCAAGAAGACAAGGAGAAGCAAGCCATCCTTGACTGGTTAACACCAAATGACTACTCTCCTCAGCAGAACGACTTCCTCAAGCAGTGGCAAGCTGGATCTGGAAAATGGCTTCTAGACTCGGCGAAATTCAAACACTGGTTAGAGACTAAGAAGCAGACACTGTTTTGCCCAGGTATACCAGGAGCTGGGAAGACAATAATCACATCAATTGTAGTAGAAGAGCTTTCTTCGCGCTTCCAAGACAAAAGCAACAACGGCATTGCATACATATACTGCAACTTCAAGCGGCAAGACGAGCAAACGTTAGAAGACTTACTCGCAAGCGTACTGAAGCAGCTAGCTCAAGCAAAATCTTCTCTCCCAGAAACTGTCAGGTCTCTCCATGACCGGTGTAAATCTATGAAGGCCCGGCCTTCGATAGATGACATCTCAATGGCCCTTCATTCGGTGGCTGCTGAATTTTCTCGAGTCTTCATCGTTGTCGATGCGCTGGACGAATGTCGAGTCAATGACAGTTGCCGAGCGAAGCTACTCTCACAACTCTCACAATTTCAGACCAGTTGTGAAGCGAATATTTTTGCAACATCAAGATTTATTCCGGAGATCACAGAGAGATTTGAACGAGACACATGGTTGGAGGTCCGCGCCAGCAAACAAGACATCCAGAGATATGTAGAAAGACATATCGATGAACTACCGCGTTTTGTCGGACGTGATCCGGATCTACAGCAGGAAATTAGCTCTGAGATCGTCAAAGCTGTCGATGGCATGGATGTAGCTTCTTACACCCTTCTTGAAGATCTAACTAACTGTAATAGGTTTCTGCTTGCACAACTTCATCTGAACTCCTTGAAAGGAAAAAGATCCCGAACGGCTATTCGAGATACTCTGAAGAGATTGCCCACCGGCACGGAATCATACAATTGTGCATATTCTGATGCTATGATGAGAATAGAAGGGCAGCTACCGGATGAAGCAACGCTTGCGAAGGAAGCTCTGTCATGGATCACTTGCGCAAAGAGACCACTGACCACCACAGAGCTTCAGCATGCTCTTGCTGTCAAAGTCAGCCAAGCAGAATTCGATAAAGACAACAAATCAGATATCGAGGATATTGTTTCAGTATGTGCTGGACTAGTCACTGTTGACGAAGAAAGTGGCATTATTCGCTTAGTGCATTACACAACGCAAGAATACTTCGAACAGACGCAAAAGGACTGGTTTCCAACCGCAGAATTCGACATCACGACGATCTGTTTAACTTATCTCTCATTCGCAGTCTTTGGAAGCGGACCTTGCGACACAGACTCTAGCTTTGAGGAGCGGCTACAACTGAACCCATTGTACGACTATGCTGCGCACTACTGGGGTCACCATGCCTGTCAGGTCCGTAGTCCACATTCGAAAGTCATCGAATTTTTCCATCACGAAATGAATATGGAAGCAGCATCTCAAGCAATGCAAGTCCGCAAGTATTTCTCATGTCAAGATCAGTATAGTCAACTTTTTCCGAGGCGAACAACAGGACTGCATTTATGTGCATATTTCGGAATTACAGACGTAGCTGCGGCAATTATCGATTTTGTAGACCTCGACTCGAGGGATGAATACGGCCGGACGCCGCTAAGTTGGGCGGCTTGGAACGGGCACGAAGGCGTAGTTTAGCTACTGCTGGATACGAGCAAGGTTAAGGTCGACTCATGGAATGGATACGTCCAGACGCCGCTATCATAGGCCGCTCTACGCGGACACGAAGGGGTAGTCAAACTACTGCAGTCAGCTATTGTTTCGTAGCTCATTGTTCACTTGAAATATATCAACCACCTCCCCACCCGCCGCCTTACAAGGCAGCGTTCCTCATACATCCAACAAATCTGCTTTAGAATATCATTTGTTTTTGAATTCAAATGACTCAGCAACAACCATTCTACTTATTGAGGCTTAGTAAAGGTATAGATAATAGCTGCTGTGGTGTACGTACACATGTTGAACGACATGAGAGATAGATGTCAAAGCACAGGCTTTAGATCAGGACACTCAGCATACGACGCTAGGGCAAACAGAGGGTACCTCGATAGGAGGGCCAATTTGGCTTGCTATAGACCCAAAATTGGGGAATTATGACTTGATTCGAGTGTACGCTCGTATATCAAATACTTTGGTTCTCAGCGTGTAACTGGAGCTAATTCGCAGCGCAAGCTCTATACCAAGAAGAAGGGCTCCCATAACGGAATTAAAATATTTATAAGTTACAAGAATATCACTACAAGACACTAAGACAAACTAAGAAGCCCCCTTGTTGGGAGGTCCATGCTATGAGAATAAGTCAAAGTGCCAGACCCGGAAACCGATTTCGGTCAGTACTGTACCTGCATTTCAACGTTTTGAAATTATCTCGTCTAATTTAGGCTTTCTGTTTCAAGACGCTTGCTAGTACCCTTTGCACACATCCTCTGCACCAGCTCCTTCGGATATGCGGCAATCAGCCTGAAACGCTCAAGTCAGAAACCATAGAAATGTGTTCATAGTTGTGTACTCGCATGAGTTTGGTCTGGGCATCCTAGATGGAGAGAAACAATGCCGAGATAACAGCTGTACGGTACCCCATTTTGTCCGCGAGACTGACGGTAAGCTAGTGTTGAAAAATGCGGGTACCTGCAAACGGCATCATGCCTGGATGATTCTGCCCCGCGAGTTTAGTTGCATTACAGCCACGAACCAACCAACAGCGCCTATCTGCTAATCTGCTAGCTCCATACGGATTTAGCAAATCCCAGAAGTAGTTAATTTCCTTGATTAGTTAGTAGTTGCCAAGGTGACAAAGCACGCTTGGATCCATCAATCCTTTGCCTTGTTTCGCATTGTTACTTTGTCATTTACATGTTCCCACACCCATACAGTGCCGTCAGTCTGACGTCTTTTCCTTAAAAGGTCAAGGCATGGCGAGTCATATAATAGCCGAAATAGTAAGCTACCAGTTTACAGAAGCCGTCATGTGTCGGCCGCCCTTACCGCATGCTGCACACGCACTTTCTTTGGCTAGCTATACCTGCTCTACGTACATAGTTGATCAGTCAACAGCAACTAAGTAGAATGGCGCCATCAGCACTAAACATCTGCTGCAAAAATAGATGCAACACTTTGATCGAATACTAATCCTATCAGCGCAACGAAGATGAATAAATTGACCGCACAGAAGGTGTGTCTGCTAGATTGCGACAAACCTCCAGGCATTACACATAGTAATGACGGCCACATCTGAACATCTCCAAGTCTTTGCACCCCTCAGTTGGGCCACACCATACCTTACATCTCCCAAATGGATGGTTTGCGACCGCGAACGAGGGTCCGAGCCTGGGGAAGACACGGACCGATTCTGTCGCGACACAATGCGCGCAAACCACGGTGTGCAATACTGGGTCGAGCTACACGAACAGCCTAGTAATCCCGGCGGAAAAATTACAAAGTCAATTTCTCTGGTAAAGTTTGGCACGGGCCTAAACGGTTTTCCTGGTATCTGCCATGGAGGCGCACTCTTTACGCTTATGGACGAAGCAATGTGCTACATTGTTGTTGCGAACACGGTGGTTGAGCACGGCGTTGCATTCATGAAGGCTGGTGAAGACCAATGGCGACTACAGCTTTTCCACGGTAAATCGGCACAAGAGGTTCTTAAGGGTCGTTTGGTAACGGCAAGCATGGACACCAAACTGCTAGCCCCGGTACTTTGTCCAGGTATCGTTGGCATTGAGACCGATGTTTTGGAAGATAAGGGAAACATGATGCGGATAAGAGCTATTATGAGGGATCGACAGGGCAAGCCCGTCGTTAAAGCCGAGGGCTTGTGGGTGCGAGTCGGAGGTGCAGCAAAGTTGTGATGACGATCAGCTGCAAGGGACCAAGGTGTGTCTAAACGGCGCACACGCATATAGTCAATGTAATGGTTCCTGGAGGTCGGCGTGCAGGCCAGTTTGTCCTTCCACAATAGTGCATCACCATAAACACGTGTGCTGGAACCCCGGTCAATGTCGCATTAACATCGGGCACGCTAGCCGCTACTGGATTGACATGTACTGGTCCTTACTGTAAATGCATCCCTCTCCGACAATACCTGGGACTCCCATGGACGAGGCGCAGTCAGTTAAACGCACATGCCAACAATCATTACTTCTATTCGTTAGTGACGTCTAAGTGCGCCTGACCTATCTTGAACCCCACCCATACGGCCACTTACAATGGTCGTGAATATTTCTTTTTGTATAAGAGCGATGATCTATCACCAGATTCTAAGGATCATCCTCTACACAAGAAACCTGACCAGTCCTTCGCTTTTTTTCAAGATGCATTCCATCCTTGCCTCGGCCGTTGCCCTCTCTTCATTGCTCCCTCTGAGCCTCGCTCAGACTTCGGGCACATTGAACACCCTCACGTTTAACGTTGCGGGCCTTCCTGCTGCCCTCAATGGCAACGATGTCCCTGGTGACAAGACGGCCAACACTGCTCGTATCGGAGAACTTTTCACAAAGTACAACATCTCGCTCATCCATGTCCAAGAGGACTTCAACTACCATGCTACCCTCTATGCGAGTGACAAGCATCCATTCCGAACGGCTACTAGCGGTGGTGTGCCCTTTGGTAGCGGCCTGAACTCGCTGAGCAACTTCCCCTTTACCAGCTTTAACAGGGTCAAATGGAACACTTGCAGTACTTTTGAGTAAGTCCAATATCTCTAACGGTGAAAGTCGATACTAACAGTACTTCCTCAACAGTAGCGCAGACTGCCTTACGCCCAAGGGCTTCACTGCCATGCGAGTGAAGTTCGCCGAGGGCGTCGTCATCGATGCATACAACTTACACGCAGACGCTGGGTAAGTCTCAATTGAAAGATCAATGCCTCAAACAGCGACTAATGAATCCAAAGCACCACGGACGCCGACAACAAAGCCCGAGCAGACAACCTCCGCCAAGTCTCCGACTACATCAAGACCTACTCCATTGGCAACCCCGTCATCGTCTTTGGCGACTCAAACTCGCGCTACACACGCACCAACGACATCCCCGCCATCTTCAAGGAGCAAAACGGCATGACCGACGTCTGGGTCGACCTGATCAAGAAGGGCGTCCCACCAGCCAAGGGCGCAGACGCTCTCCTCTGCTCCAACCCCTCCACGACCAACGAGTGCGAAATTGTCGACAAAACCTGGTACCGCGGCTCCGCCGCCGTCAAGCTCACAGCCAAGAAGTTCGACTACGCGGGTCACATGTTCCTCCAGGACAACGGCGACATCCTCAGCGACCACAACGGCGTGCTCGTCGACTTTGACTGGTCCGCCGTCGACCGCTTCACCCTCTCCGACACATTCGGCGGCGAAGGCGGAAACTGGTTCAACGACTTGGACACCGTTGCTGGTGTCAGCGGCGCAAAGGTTGCTTCCGTCACGCTTCGTGGCGCCGACCGCGTGGATAGCATTGCGTTCAAGCTTGCGTCTGGCCAGACGCTGGCGCATGGCGGTACTGGTGGCACAGAGGCGAGCTTGACCCTGGCAAGCGGAGAGACGCTGTCGTCTGCGACAATGTGCCAGGGCCAGAGGAACGGCGCTAACAGGCTCTTTTATGTGGAGTTCAAGACCAGTGCTGGAAAGTCGGTGTCTACAGGTGTTAAGACGAGTGACTGCGTTACGAGAACTGCACCGGCTGGCAAGAGCATTGTTGGGCTTTTGGGCCGCGCGGCGGATGGTGTTGATCAGGCTGGGCTTATTTACTCCAAGTAAAATGGGGGCTGGTTGATTGCACTGCTTTTGTGCTCCTTCTTGTGTTTATTTTATTTTTTTACATCTGGATACTATTGATGATTAATTTATGTTATGATGATACTGGAACGCTGTGTACGAGACTTTGGTCTAGGTGATGTCGTCTAGTGGGTTTGAGGCGTGCTGTAAGTACTACTAATTGCTATATAGACAGCTGGAAGTGGAGTCTCGTCAGCCACAAACCGCTTTTAGACGCTCCATTGTTTTACCAAGTAGCATCTTGGCACCTGAACAGTGAGCTACGTAGCCTAGTCCGTTGGCTCTTAGTCTCCCCCGGACCCCGGTCATGGATATAAGGATCGTTTTTTCGACTTGTTGGCACCGGATATTACCTTGCATGTACGACCCTGCCTCCGCCGTTTATGACGCACCCTCTGATTACCAAATTCCAGACACAACGAGGGCTATAATAGAGATGGTATGAAAGTATGGATTTGAGGGAGAGTGACTTATGGTGAAAAGAAACATAAAAGTAGGATGATACATACATACTTTGTTCAACATCTCCTTCCTTCATCATTACAACTCCATCAATCTCATAACAATTGTTCGACATATCAACTCTAACCGCAGAATCATCACTCCATCTTCACCAGATCCCACCATGCCCCATTACCCATTACGCCTCCGCCTCCGCCCATCCCACCCCACTTCCCTCTCCATCTTCCTCTCCGCCTCCCCACCTCAGCACTACCCCCCTCCCACTTCCCACTCTTCCACCTCTTGAAACCTGCATTACTAGCGTTAACAATACCAAGCTATACAAAGCTACGCTTCCCGCGTATTTCTGATAATCTCTGATAGTGATATGGATTTGGGAAAGGGGGTGGGATAGCGTGTCGCAGATGTTTATGTGAGATGTGTGGATATTTTTGGGTGGTTTGGATGGGAGGGGGGGGGGTGATCAAAGAGAGGAAGAAGAGGGAAGAGAAAATGTATTGGAGGTAGTGTAGTAAGGTGGGAGGGAGGGGGGGTTCGACGATGGGCAGGGCACCAGAGATGACTGGGCATGCGGTGCAGTCGTATGGTGAGGAGAGTGGGAGGTTGTTGGAGGATGGGTGTGTGAGTAGCTGGTTAAGGGGTTAAGGGGGTTGGTTTGGAGAGGGCATGTAAACGTGTTGAATTCTTCTCATCGTGTTTTTTGAGTTGATATATAGGATGGAGTTGGGACACGTGCCATGGACAGATAATCTTGGTTTTCTAATTGGTATATGCTGCTACCATCTATTCGTACAACAAAAAACTGAACCTAAACATTTTTCCATAAAGATAGCGTTCAAGGAAAGAAGGAAAATAAAATCAATACAAGGGTAAAATCACCAGACAGCAATACCTTCTCTTCCTCAAATCCCACTCATCTAAACCTCGAATCGGTACTTGACGTCCCTAGCCCCTAGTCATACAGTTCTTCTTAGTAGAACCAGTACTGAGCCTTATACTGCACAGTAATAACCTCACCCGCCGCCTTACCCGCACAAGTAGCAGGCGCCTTTCCACCAACAGTCTGGACACGGTAAATCTCCTTGACTGTGCTCGTTGATCCAGCCTGAGCGGTAAGTCTGAGCCACTTGACATCGCTCGCCGGGTTGGGCGCATCAACCTCTTGCGCCTTCTTGAGGATCGTGTTACCCAGTGACGCAATATCAAATTCGGGTGTCGTGTTGTCACGGAAGAAATGTGAACCTGCGAGGGTGAAAGCAGGAAGATCACTAGTGGCGGTGGCGGGATTGGCAGCTACGTTGCAGGTGTCGTCGAAGAGCTGGGCTACGGCGCCGATAGGGGTTGGAGCGGAGCTGGCGTCGGCGCAGGTGTAGTTTTGAGTTCCTACGCCTAGAGCGACCATGATGGGATTTCCAGATGGTGCGGCGAGGCCAGATGCAGGCAGCTGGAGGGCGGCTTTGTTGCAGGCTTGGGCGACGTCCTCCTGGGCAACGGCATCTCGAGGGGTCACGACGCCTCCAGTGGCGGGCATTGGTAGGCGGCGCAAAGGTGTTGCCGCAGTGAAGCCAGTAAGGGCAACGGCAGTGAGAAAGAATGAGGCGCGCATCTTGACTGGTTTGTTGCAGTTTATCTTTATGTATACAAATGACTAGAGTATAGGCGCAGGGTATGTATATTGGGCGGGGGTTGATGAATGCGTCTCAACGATGCTGTGTTGTTGGAACGAGGGAAGAGCTGCTTGAGCCTGAAAGAGCGAACGGAGAGTGAAAGAGAGAGTGTGCGTGAAAACTTGCTGAATGCCTGAGTTGTTGTGGATCAATTTCACAGCAGGTGGCCTGCCTTATATATGCTGTTCGTTAACCTCATAACGGTCTTACTGTGGCGTATCTACAGGCCGAGGCTGCGGGGGATCTGGCTGTCGGAACGTTTGACATGTATACCAAAGTTGATGTTAGGTTTCGAAAGTATGGAATAGAGTTAGACCCTGGACCCGGTGGGTAATACCTGTACAAGAAAAACTTGAATTTGTGCAACTGATACACGAGGGATGAACGGTTGAAACAAAAGTTCCTACCTGACAGACACGGAGGATCCGCGTCGCATAGACAGACAACGGGTGGGTCTCCCGGCGATGTTTAGTACGCCCGTAAAACATTGATGTGAGTGTGGAGATGCAATGAATAACAGCGGTCTTATAGATCTTGTCGACCACAGACGAATTTTGCCAAATTCATTTGCAGACCATGGCGTGGCCTGCACGGCGACCAGAGATGTAGTGACATACCGCTTACTACTATAGTCTATACTTACATACAACTGTGCCGCCATGTTGCTGACAACGGCGCAGCTGTGCAAGGGTCCCCGACTTTGGAAAACAGTTGCATGTGTGAAGGCGGTGCTGAAACGGTGCCTGGGGAAGAGGTGCAGACCAAGCCGTGGATCTCAAACGTGGGTCCAGATGGACGGGCCGACGAAAACGGTAAACATCAAGTTAGTGTATCCACTTCCGTTATTGAGGGGGATTCTGGTGCTTTTGGTATAATGCTGGAGGTCACGTGCTGTGCCCAAGTAGGGATCGTAGGCGAGTGCTCCAGACATCAAGTGTCGGAGGTGGCTGAGATGAAAGGGAGTGTCGGGCATTCATGCCACACTGCTGACATGTCATGAGGTGAATAGGGACATATCGCGTCCCCGCTGACAACTGTGCTCACTGCATCATCGCGCTCCTACTCGTATGTAAGTATGCGTATGTTGTATACATCCAGTTATCCGGCGAGGCGGGCAGTGCTACGGACCACTCGGGTCCTGTGGGCGTCGTCAACCATGCCGACGGTGGCTGGCGGCCAAATCAGACTGCGCGTAACTAGCTCCGCCTCAACTTATACGTGTACCCGCCACGCAACGCTTCACCAGCCTATGTCTTTTTACATGTAGACGCGCGCACTCTCATCCCGTGGCTACCAACTCTGGACAGTGTCTCTATTGCCATGATGCAGCGCAGAGTTGGCTTGAACGAACTCATTCAAGCTTCTGGAGTGACGCCCCTTGGCCAACGCCAAGCTATTCTACCCGCACCCACCCAGCCTGCCATTGTTGCCAGCGAAGAGGACCATGCACAGGCGCGAAACATTCTTCTAGAGCGCAGAGCCAAACCTGCCGAAAGCAAGAAGGGATTGAAGAGTATTTTCAAAAGTTCAAAAGACAAGGATAAATCCCAGGACGCCGCCCTCTTCTCCCAGGATGAGCTGGACCAAGCCTTGTCAGCCGTCATTTGCGATGCAACCACAGGGCCTGGTTTGATTCAGGCCTTCCTTAGCCTCGGAGCCAAGGTCAACATCATCGAAACCCTAGACAAGAAGAAGAAATCCGGAACCCAAGCCAATACCTCGCTACGCCGCCGAAGCACTGTCTTGCAGCAGGCCGCCAGCCTACGAAAGGCGGATGGCGTCAATATTCTGGCCAGCTCTGGTGCTGACCAGACCACCTTGGATGAAGCACTCAAAGCCGCCCTCAGTACAAACGACCATGCATGCATCACTGAGCTGTTGAGGCATGGTGCCAACCTGAACAACTTCCCAAATGCCTTGGCTAACGCCGTGCGATCCAATGACCTCAATCTTGTTCGACTTCTATTGCGAGCCCCAAAGCCTCTCCGTCCCGATATCATATCATCATGTCTGCCTGCTGCAGTCGAGCAAACCTCTGACGCAACCATATCTCTACTAATCATATATGGTGCCGATCCAAACTTCGACACGGCAAGCGCCCTGAACATGGCCATTGGAAGACAGTATTACAAAGTTGCCGTTGCTCTGGTTGCCGGCCCCATTCGTCTGACTACATCAAATTTGCAACATTCACTCGACACGACAATGAGGCTTCCCACACGTCAGGCAACTCTTCAATTTCTCCAGCTTCTTTTCTGCTGTGGCCTACCTCCTGACAGCAGGGGCTTGTCGGATTTTCTCATCTGCGTCGTACGTGGTAATGATGCTGCTGGTGCACGGATGATGATTAGCTACGGCGTCTCCACAACGACAAATGAAGCAGAGTGCTTGAGGGAGGCTCTGGCCAACTCCAACTGGGCTATAGTGGATGCTATCCTTCAGACTCCACTAGCCCAGCAACACGCAGTGGCTGCACTAACTGCTCTGCCACGTAACATCCCACAACCGGATAGATTCCGTGTAGTTAGTGCATTACTACAAAAGGGTGTAAAAGGTCGCCCGCTTGGTCCACTACTTACACAGGCCACCAAAGAAAGAGACTATCAGCTGGTAGAGCTTCTTCTTGGAGCCGATGCACCAGTTGGATCGGGCGACGGCGGGGCTCTACATGCTGCCGTGTTCAATAAGGACCATCAAGCCCTGAAGTTGCTTCTCAACACACGGCCATCACCCGAGTCTCTTGGAGAAGTCTTCAGACTTCTACAAAACGGATTCACAGCATCTGAACGGCGCGACTTTTCTCGATTGCTGCTCGAACATGGCGCACGTGGCCCTGGTGTTGATCATGCTCTAGTCGATGCGATCGCGGATACCTCTTCTACACGAGACGGGGCCCTCGTAACAGACTTGGTCCGGAAAGGTGCAAGCGTTGATTATGACAACGGCAGAGTATTTTCCCTAGCAGTCGCCCAAGCTGACATGTCCCTTTTGCGTCTGCTTTGCAATGCGAGACCCAAACCATTGTCGACTTCGGCAGCCCTTCCCCTAGTGTTTGAATCACATGCCGGTAGACATGCTAAAGCGCTTGAGATCATCGAGTTACTGCTAAGCCACGGAGTTGAGGAAGAGCCAGCCGGCCAAGCCTTGCAACTTGCCATCAAAGGTGGCCCAAGCAACATCGACATTATCGAACGCATTCTTACTGCAAGCCCCAGTCTGCTCAGCCTTGCGTTCAAACACGCAACTGCAATTGATGACCCTCAAAAGAAGGCCCCGATCCTAGACGCACTTCTGAAGCTCGGAGTACCCCAAGAGTCCTTGGACCAGGCCCTCGCTGCTGAGACACGGCACGCCGTCTCGACAAAGGACACAACTAGTACGAAGCTGTTGTTGGGACAAGGTGCTTCTGTGAGTCACAACGATGGCGAGGCTCTGAGTGTTGCAGTGGCTTCGGGTGATAGCTCGCTAACGGCATTGCTTCTCAGTGGGAAACACCAAGCATCGCGACCTAGTCTTACTCGAGCCTTCCAAACGCTGTTTACTGACAAGAACCTTTCGCTTGCCGAGAACAAGAAGAATGCCAATCAGCTAGCGCAAGAGCTTCTCAATCGCGGTGTCGATAAACCCGCCATCAACACTGCTCTATGCGCTGTTCTGAGCAGTGAGCACGATAGCAACAACACTGAGCCCCTAGTAGATCTACTACTCTCCCACAATGCTGATGTCAACACAGCAGACGGTGCTTGCTTTGTCCTTGCAACGCAAAAGCACAGTCATACTATATTTGAGAAGCTCATGCTTCACAATCCCCAGTTCAATGTCATTGTCCCAGCACTATTAAGCTCCAAATTGCAAGACGAAGTTGTCTTTTCGGCAATACAATCATGTTTTGATTCTGGATTCACGATTGATGAAATGGCAACTGGTAATAACAAGATGCCGATTTTGGTTACCGCCATGACTGTCTATCCACGCAATGCTGCTCTCATCACGCTTCTGCTCAGTCACGGTCTGAATCCAAATGTATCAGTTCCCACAGTGCTCCACCCTGCGGCTGGTCCGGAGACAGTCCCCGCACTTTACTGGGCGCTAGCTCAACCGCAAAAGCGCATCTCAGATGCCGTAGTCTCCGCACTGGTGGAAGCCAGTGCTTCCGTGAGCGACATCTCGCCCATCTCGGAAACGACGGTGCTTATGCTTGCCGCGCGAGAGGGACGTCATGGTATCCTTACTGCGCTACTAGAGCGAAGTCCGGACGTTGATGCCCGAGACAAGTGGAACAAGTCTGCAATGTTCTACGCCAGTGGTAGTCTCTCTGGGGAAGCCTTAGTGAAAACACTGGCCCCACACACCACAGAAAACGACGGTAGCATACACGAATCAGCACGAGAACTGAACGTCGAGGCCGTCAAAGCCCTGCTTGAACATGGCCACGATCCAAACTACCCGTCTCGACTCCATGGCGGCAGAAACGCTCTCGGAGAACTCTGTCTCAATGCCACCGTCATAACTCCCACCCATCGCTCCCGACTCCGCCAGGTCATTCGCCTTCTACTCTCCAACGGCGCAAATGCCAAATTCCGCGCCCGAAACGAAAAGTCCAGCATCATTCTCGCCCTCGACAACCCCTACAGCGCCCTCCCCATCACCGAAACCCTCCTCGAAACCGACATCTGGAAAGACCTAAACGACCCATCCCACATCTACCACGACCCAGCCTCCAACCTGCATTACTCACCCTATTCCTACGTCGACCTCCTCCCGACTCCCTCCCGCACCCCCATCCGCCCAGCCCTCCTCGACCTCCTCCGCGACAAAGCCTGCATCCCCGTCTACTACTCATCTTCCGCCCTCCAACCCGTCGGTGCAACAGGCCTCCCCGCCCCCATCGCCGCCCTCGTCGATAAGCAAAAAGACCACGACCTCAGCATCCGCCACGAAAAAGAAAAATTCGAACACCAACGCTCCATGCACGAACTATCCCACAAGGACTCCTTGCGTCGCAAATCAGAAGCTTTAGATGCAGACCTCACTCGCCAGGCCAAAGCAACAAAACAATACACGTTGCTTGAGCAGCAAAAACACGAATTCGAAGTCCAGCGGCTGCGCGAGGCGGAGCGCACGCGCCGTGCGGAAAAGGCAGCATGGCACGCGTTGCTTACGGAGCAGGAACGCGAAGCAGCGGCGCGCCGGGCGGAGGTCGAAGAGAGGAAAGTCCGGGATGCCATGAGTGCCGAGCTGAAGATGATTGAGCAGCGCAAAATGGAGGTTGAGCATCGTGCGGGCGTAGAGCGCAAGATGTTGCAGGAGAAGGAGGAGTTTTATGAGAGGAATGTGAGGAGGCAGAGGGAGGTGAGGCAGATTGAGGGGGGCAATGCTGGGACGGCGCAGTGGGGGACAGTTGATTGATAGCACTGCGTCTTCTTCCTTTTTTCATTTTTTTTATATATATACTGGAGTTTTTTTGAGCGTTGAAGCGGATTTTCGGTCTTGAAATGCTACACACCCGTTTTCATCAAAGCGGGAAAAATAGA